GTTCAGTCATTTCTGGCTGCTTTCTCAAGTATCTTTGTTTTGTTTTTTGTTTTTTTGTCAGCTTGTTCTCCCATCCTTTTCCATCTCCACTTCAGGTTATCTATTTCTTTCAGAATTGTCGGTTTCGGGGAATTTTATCGAGTACTGATCGGGAGCTAGTTCTCTAAGCTGCCATTTTGGGCTGGAGCTAACCGGAAGTCGCCACATTCTTTGAATTTAATTAACACAATAAGAAAGTTCATATGAAGATGAAATTGTAAATTTTGCATCAGCTATGTTTTTGAGCTGCTTCTTCTTGTAGAACCTTAAAAAAATAAGAAAACAAACTATTAGATTTGTGCAGAACGCTTCTTTGAGATCATTTGAGCCACTCGCACACAAATACATGCAGACACAGCCTGCACACAGATATGCTGGCAGGAGTTAGATAGCACTTTTATTATGTGGAGCAAGAATTGTAACAGACACATGCTGACTGCTTTACATAGGGGCTGATGACAGCCAAGACTGTCTGCTGATATGGATTAGGCAGGGCTGTTAAGTGTGGTTAGGTGTGTAAGAGAAAGACAAAGGAGGAAAAAGAGACTGTCTATTGTGTGTGTGTGTGTAGTCATAGCTCTTTGAAAGGTGGGAGGGGGAGGCAAACAACAGTTAAATGAGTATCACTCAGACGATAAGATGATCCCTCCTTAAAGCAGTTAACGGTTAACAGAGGATACGTTACGCGCCATTCTGCGAGGGAAAGTACAAAGCAGGAAGGAAATTTGCAAAATACTTTGGAAGAAGTTTATGATTAGCTAAGAATCCTGAAACTGCTGAGAAATATCTAACATGGAAAAAATGTTCTGCCCTCATGGCCGGTTTGCCCTGCAGGTCAAATGATAAAATCTTCACAGTTTTTATTCATATTACAGGGACTCAACCTTTGTACACTTATACTGTGGTGAAATATTTGCATTTTCAACCTCCTCATTTCATTATAAATATGTTGTAAATTAATTTTATGGAAAGACTCAGTGTGGCCCAGACTATTGTAAAGGTGTGGGTAAGGTGCTAACCTTTAAATAATTCCAGTGGTTGGGGTTTTAATGAGTCTTAATGTCCCATGATGGAGGCTAAGCCACTCTGACAAGAATAAAAACCCAGTACACTTATATCATGTATTTTTTGGCACCAAAGTCAAAATGAACACTTAATCTACTCTAAACACTCAGTCTTAAAGATCATGTCACAGCCAGGTTTGACTCTCTGTCATTGTCTGGTTCATGGTGTCAGTTGAAAGCCGGTAAATAACTGACGTTTGTCAGGAGTAATGCACTGTTGGATTTGAATGCCTGCCATTAGGGAAGTAAAGTGAGACCCCAGTTCCTTATTTATTGCATGACAGTTAGGGCACAAAGCCAGATCTTTGGCTTGTGGTTTATCCTTCACAGAGACACACATACACACACACTCATAGACAAGTAGCTTCTTCTTCCAACTGTGAGATACCAATTTGCCTGCTATCTTCTTTATTCTACAGTTTTTTTCGTTTTCTTTTATTTTTTTACAATTTACTGAGTGTCAGCAGTGCTCACGTTTCCGTCCCTCTTTGGTTGCATTTTCCCCCATAAGATGGTACAGTATTTGCATGCTGCTCTCTTTTCCATATATAACTTCTGACAGGCTCTCCTGTGTCCCCCTGCCCTACTTTAATCCATCTAGCGATCTCGCTGTACCGTACTGCAGGACAGAGCATACAGCTGCCTCCACCTGGAACTAAGTCTTTAAAAAACTGTCTGCAGTGTAACAGCCAGCTGGTGGTTCCACAAAGATGCTCTATATGCTTTTAAGTTGTCTAATCTTCGACATTACTGTTATTTCAGCACATCGCTTTGGCTGTCTTTTATTTTGTGTTCAACAATAACGCTAAATGTCAGTGTTGGCTCATTTTGGGTGTTGTGGACCTCTATGATTTAGCACCAGTGAAGCATCTTACTCTGTCTGAATGTATATATCTTATTGGATGGTGTTGCAGGCTTTCATAAACTGATCCTTTGGTGCCCCCTTGTGGTTAGTGGGGACTATCATGAAAGTACATCTTGAAATAGGAGAACACGCTGTACTTTTAGAGGATTATAGGTTGAACTGACAATTCTAAGCAAATTACCATCGACATGGTAAAAGCCACGTGGGGGACAGAGTGTAATACTTTCCATGCTGTGTGTGTGTGTGTGTGTGTCCTGTATATTCCACCTTTAGTCTTTGGTTAAGTTTACTAAACAAATTCCTTCACATACTTTATTTTCATCTGTATTTCCTCTTTTGGTTTTTCTTATTTATGACTTTGTACTACTCAAACCTTTTTTGAGCAACACAACTTCTTACCATGGATTGCTGAGAAGTTTGCAACCCAGCGAGCATTTTGAGGTTGATTATACGTCTATTATACGTCTAAATTTAGACTAGACGTCTAGTCTAAATTTGGTATAACAGAGGTATAGAAATGAAAGTTTTTCCAACGTCGAAATTTATACGTTTTTTCAACGTCGAAATGTATACGTTATTTAAACGTCGAACTTTATACGTTGTTTAAACGTTTTGATTTATACGTTATTTAAACGAGTTTATTCTACATTGTTCCGTCTATAACGTTGAAATGACGTCCAATAGACGTTTTCATTTAAACGTCTTTATGTTAGACGTTCATATGACGTTCATGCTTCAACCAAATATAAACCCAGGTATAGACACAGACGTTAATTAAACGTTTATTAGACATCTGGTCCATATCGGCCGACCCAGCGGGTACCGGGCGAGCCTCCCCGCGCGCGGACGGTCCCGGCAGCGGCGGCCGCTGGAGCTCGCAGGTCCCCGGTCAGCCTACGGCGCTGACCAAACGAGTCTATTAAACTTTCATTTCTATACCACTGTTAAACCATTTTTAGACTACAGGTCCAACGGACGCCTAAAGGCACAATCATTTCTTGTAAATATTTTAATAAATTAACTAAATATCAACAATGCATATTACCATAAGCATCTGATATATGTAAATTGATGAAAATATTCACAGGAAACACGTGAAACGTAAAAATCAAAACGTTTAAAAAGAGTATAAAGTTCGACGTTGAAAAAACGTTCATTTCTATACCTCTGTTATACCAAATTTAGACTAGACGTCTACTTTCAATTTAGACGTATATTAGACGTATAATCAACCTCAAAATGCTTGCTGGGACCATCTGTAGAGCCAGATTCTCTACACCAAAAGTTACCTGCTGCTTACCTTGATACACGTACTCCCAGGATGTTCTAATGTGGCAATGTTGCTTCTCTTTCTGGACCTTTCAGAATAGCTTCTACAGTCATGCTCATTCATAATTTAACACTGATCTACATATGGCAATGATCAGTCAACTGTAATTGAAATCACAGTACATTTTTCACTCAGAATATAACCATTACAGTCATGGAGTGGGAAAAACAATCTTTTAATCTCACATCTAGTAAAACGAACATTTAAAAAAGAAAAAAAATCTATATATCTATATACAAACATAGCTACAAAGTATAAAGAACAAGAACAACAACATACTGAAAAATTTAAGTAATACTAATACTGAAATGAACTATAAATATTAACAATTTTAAGATATATATTTTTTAAAAATTAGCAGGGTGGTGTTGTGGTGGTGCCCCTCCCACCACATCGAGCTGGTGCCTGTTTCAAATGGTCCCCAATCGATGCTGCGACCAGTTCCTCTGTTGCTGTCGGGAAGTTGATGCGAACAGACTCTGCAAAAAGAAAAAAAAAACAAAAGAAACTTGAATCATAGTAAGTGTAGAAATTATCTAGTATTGTCCGGAAGGATTCTTCACTTTTTTTACAGCTTCAGGCTTTAAATGAGTCAGTAACATGACCAAGAATAAGTAATAACTTGCAGAGATATAATTCACTTACCAAGAACAACTGTGAAGAAAGCAGTTTTCTTAAAGCCTTTTTTCCCCTAGTGTCCTCCACCAGGAGGTTGTACTTCCTCTGCACGTCATTGTGTAAAATTCTGAAATGGATATCAAAGACAAATAAATCTCTTAAGGTGCGTTCACACCGGACAGGCAACGCAACTTGTCCTGTCTTGTGTCCTAAAACGTGTCACTTTGCCACCAGCAATTCGCGTTGCGCATTACGTCACACCCGCTCTAGGTTTCCCCTCGATCTCGTCGGATACCGTGTCCAGCGCTGCTCTTTATTTGCGGAACAATTCCCTAAAACCTCAGAGAAACCCTCGCTGCTGTTGCGCAAGTGCCTGTGTGAACGCACCATAATACTGCTCACTCTTGCAATTCACTAGAAAGACTTGATAAACACCAACAATACATGATTATATTAATAACATTGTCTTGCTGTCATATTCATACCTGTCCAGGATCCTGCGTGTGCAGGTCTCAATGTCCTTCCCCCCAAGGTGTGACAGTTGTTTTATCTGTATGATATAATCAAATTATCAAGAGTGTCTAATGTATAGATTTCTGTCATTTTTAGCATCTCTATTTGACTTACCAGTAAACGTTTTACGCTGGGGTGCCTACTGATTTCCAACGACATGCGCTGAGCCTCCTCCAAAGTCCTTAACGGCAACTGACGTATCTGCTCACCCTCATCTTCAATGTCCCCCTGCTGGTTGAGCGATTTCAATTCATCGCAGATTTCCAAAAGTGTTTCCACGACCACCCGCTGGAACTCTTGGTGAAAAGATATGATTTAGTAACATTCAATTCAATAATTAGAATACATTACTTAACATTTTGTACTGTAGTTATGCCACTCTTACTTTTCTCAGGCATTGGGTAGGAATAAACCCTCTTCCTCACTGCAAAATCCGAGAACGAGACAATAAATGGATGATGAGTGTGGTGCTTAACTTTGGCTTTCAAACACCAAATCATATGCTGTTGCACTATTTTAAAATAGCCCCCACCCTACTTAAAAACCACTGCCAAACCTGATAAATCCTTACCTTGAATCCAATTCAAAAATTCATCCATGAAATCACCCTCCCTAGCTCTTTTTCTCCGCCACTCTTTCAAATAATTAGAGGCCATATTCAATTTGGCTGGAAAGAAAACACATGGAAAAAAGAAAGTAGAAAAATAATAATATAAATAACAGTGTGAACTTGTAGATCAACCATTATAAAATTGTTTTGTTTTTTTAGAACAATTGGCAACTTGTGAAACAGGACATAATGCATAATGAATATCTTTTACTCTTGGTAAAAAATATGTCGATACCAGTACTTTTAGATTTTTACTATTAGCATTTCCTATAGCACTGCTAATGCACTAACAAATTACTATTGGAATAATTCAACTAATGCGTCCCATTTCTACCACACATAGTGAAAATACAATCTATGACAATTACAGTTAAACACAAATTTAATTATATGAAAAAATACCACTGGATAAACAAAAACAACAGTACTGGCATCAAAATAGGCTTCATTTTCTAATTGAATTGGATAGCCTAACTAGCAGCTTTTAAACTTGGCTCCAACAGAGAGAGCAGGCCCTTATTTACTTTCATGACAACACACGTTAGCATGGACTATTTAATGCTGGCTAAACTAGCCACAAGCTAGCCCTCGTAGTAGCAACCAGGCTACATGCGAACTCGAGTTTAACATTTGCTGTAAATGCATTTCACCGTCACGCATCATGATGCACGACGGTGGGAGGACCAAAGCTTGCAAAAATAAACATTTTCTATAATATCTCCTTCAGCCCCCACCTCTTTTCTGCAGAATGTATAACTCTCAAACTCAGTGACTCCTGGAACTTCTGGTGTACTCCGACGGTCGTGAGGTCGAGTGTGTACAAAGCGCAATGCTTCAGCCGGATGTTGTGCGGTCCACAATTTGAAGCCGTTTTCATGTTTTGGTCCGATTATGGTCCGATCTCCAAACGGGTGTTAAGATGGGCTCTTGCAGAGCTACCAAATACTTTTTGTCGCTCATCTCGTAGTATTGCGGCTATGCCGATAACTTTTATCAGGGACTACTTTGCTCTTGGCGGAATTAGAATCTACCAGAAGTGGTTGCACGGTGGATCACGTGAGCGTGCTCCACCAACAAGGTGGCTGGATTATTGTCACGGTGGCAGCCGGTGTTACCGAGACGGATAAAACACATGAAATCTAAGAATTAAATTGAATTTCAGCGACCAACTTTGTTGTCGAGTACTCAGCAGGACCCAAGCTTTAAGATCCGAAGTTGTTTTTTATTTTATTTTTCTGCCGTATATGCGTTTCGACCGGACATGGCGAAAAGACTGGTTACGCTCAGGAGTATGATAGTCCCATAGATTGAGATCAGTTCTGCAACGTTCAGTTATCATTTTCAATAATCAACTCTTGAAGTGCAGATTAAAATCGATTGTCTAGATTCGGTCTATATGTAGACGTTGAAATGACGTATAAATTTATACGTCTAAATCACGTCTAGAAATAGACTGAATCTAGACGTTGAAATGAAGTATAAATGTATACGTGTAAATGACGTCTACATCTATACTATGCTGCATATCTCTCCACGGTATCATAAGTAATGTAATCCAGTATTTAGAGGTCAGTTATGCACATTACAGTTGTTTATTGCATAAATAGTTATCGAAAAATGAAGTTGAGGGCGAAGTATAAATCACGTCTAGAAATAGACTGAATCTAGACGTTGAAATGAAGTATAAATTTATACGTGTAAATGACGTCTACATCTATACTATGCTGCATATCTCTCCACGTATCATAAGTAATGTAATCCAGTATTTAGAGGTCAGTTATGCACATTACAGGTGTTGATTGCATAAAAAGTTATCGAAAAATGAAGTTGAGGGCGAAGTATAAATCACGTCTAGAAATAGACTGAATCTAGACGTTGAAATGAAGTATAAATTTATACGGCTAAATCACGTCTAGAAATAGACTGAATCTAGACGTTGAAATGAAGTATAAATTTATACGTCTAAATCACGTCTAGAAATAGACTGAATCTAGACGTTGAAATGAAGTATAAATTTATACGTGTAAATGACGTCTACATCTATCCTATGCTGCATATCTCTCCACGGTATCATAAGTAATGTAATCCAGTATTTAGAGGTCATTTATGCACATTACAGTTGTTTATTGCATAAAAAGTTATCGAAAAATGAAGTTGAGGGCGAAGTATAAATCACGTCTAGAAATAGACTGAATCTAGACGTTGAAATGAAGTATAAATTTATACGTCTAAATCACGTCTAGAAATAGACTGAATCTAGACGTTGAAATGAAGTATAAATTTATACGTCTAAATCACGTCTACATCTATACTATGCTGCATATCTCTCCACGATATCATAAGTAATGTAATTCAGTATTTAGAGGTCAGTTATGCACATTACAGTTGTGTATTGCAAAAATAGTTATCGAAAAATGAAGTTGAGGGCGAAGTATAAATCACGTCTAGAAATAGACTGAATCTAGACGTTGAAATGAAGTAAAAATTTATACGTCTAAATCACGTCTAGAAATAGACTGAATCTAGACGTTGAAATGACGTATACATTTATACGTCTAAATCACGTCTAGAAATAGACTGAATCTAGACGTTGAAATGAAGTATAAATTTATACGTCTAAATCACGTCTAGAAATAGACTGAATCTAGACGTTGAAATGAAGTAAAAATTTATACGTCTAAATCACGTCTAGAAAAGACTGAATCTAGACGTTGAAATGAAGTATAAATTTATACGTCTAAATCACGTCTAGAAATAGACTGAATCTAGACGTTGAAATGACGTATACATTTATACGTCTAAATCACGTCTAGAAATAGACTGAATCTAGACGTTGAAATGAAGTATAAATTTATACGTCTAAATCACGTCTAGAAATAGACTGAATCTAGACGTTGAAATGACGTATACATTTATACGTCTAAATCACGTCTAGAAATAGACTGAATCTAGACGTTGAAATGAAGTATAAATTTATACGTGTAAATGACGTCTACATCTATACTATGCTGCATATCTCTCCACGGTATCATAAGTAATGTAATCCAGTATTAAAAGGTCAGTTATGCACATTACAGTTGTTTATTGCATAAATAGTTATCGAAAAATGAAGTTGAGGGCGAAGTATAAATCACGTCAAGAAATAGACTGAATCTAGACGTTGAAATGAAGTATAAATGTATACGTCTAAATCACGTCTAGAAATAGACTGAATCTAGACGTTGAAATGAAGTATAAATTTATACTTGTAAATGACGTCTACATCTATACTATACTGCATAGCCTATCTCTCCACGGTATCATAAGTAATGTAATCCAGTATTTAGAGGTCAATTATGCACATTACAGTTGTTTATTGCATAAATAGTTATCGAAAAATGAAGTTGAGGGCGAAGTATAAATCACGTCTAGAAATAGACTGAATCTAGACGTTGAAATGAAGTAAAAATTTATACGTCTAAATCACGTCTAGAAAAAGACTGAATCTAGACGTTGAAATGAAGTATAAATTTATACGTCTAAATCACGTCTAGAAATAGACTGAATCTAGACGTTGAAATGACGTATACATTTATACGTCTAAATCACGTCTAGAAATAGACTGAATCTAGACGTTGAAATGAAGTATAAATTTATACGTCTAAATCACGTCTAGAAATAGACTGAATCTAGACGTTGAAATGACGTATACATTTATACGTCTAAATCACGTCTAGAAACAGACTGAATCTAGACGTTGAAATGAAGTATAAATTTATACGTGTAAATGACGTCTACATCTATACTATGCTGCATATCTCTCCACGGTATCATAAGTAATGTAATCCAGTATTAAAAGGTCAGTTATGCACATTACAGTTGTTTATTGCATAAATAGTTATCGAAAAATGAAGTTGAGGGCGAAGTATAAATCACGTCTAGAAATAGACTGAATCTAGACGTTGAAATGAAGTAAAAATTTATACGTCTAAATCACGTCTAGAAAAAGACTGAATCTAGACGTTGAAATGAAGTATACATTTATACGTCTAAATCACGTCTAGAAACAGACTGAATCTAGACGTTGAAATGAAGTATAAATTTATACGTGTAAATGACGTCTACATCTATACTATGCTGCATATCTCTCCACGGTATCATAAGTAATGTAATCCAGTATTTAGAGGTCAGTTATGCACATTACAGTTGTTTATTGCATAAATAGTTATCGAAAAATGAAGTTGAGGGCGAAGTATAAATCACGTCTAGAAATAGACTGAATCTAGACGTTGAAATGACGTATACATTTATACGTCTAAATCACGTCTAGAAAAAGACTGAATCTAGACGTTGAAATGAAGTATAAATTTATACGTCTAAATCACGTCTAGAAATAGACTGAATCTAGACGTTGAAATGACGTATACATTTATACGTCTAAATCACGTCTAGAAAAAGACTGAATCTAGACGTTGAAATGAAGTATAAATTTATACGTCTAAATCACGTCTAGAAATAGACTGAATCTAGACGTTGAAATGACGTATACATTTATACGTCTAAATCACGTCTAGAAATAGACTGAATCTAGACGTTGAAATGAAGTATAAATTTATACGTCTAAATCACGTCTAGAAATAGACTGAATCTAGACGTTGAAATGACGTATACATTTATACGTCTAAATCACGTCTAGAAATAGACTGAATCTAGACGTTGAAATGAAGTATAAATTTATACGTGTAAATGACGTCTACATCTATACTATGCTGCATATCTCTCCACGGTATCATAAGTAATGTAATCCAGTATTAAAAGGTCAGTTATGCACATTACAGTTGTTTATTGCATAAATAGTTATCGAAAAATGAAGTTGAGGGCGAAGTATAAATCACGTCAAGAAATAGACTGAATCTAGACGTTGAAATGAAGTATAAATTTATACTTGTAAATGACGTCTACATCTATACTATACTGCATAGCCTATCTCTCCACGGTATCATAAGTAATGTAATCCAGTATTTAAAAGGTCAGTTATGCACATTACAGTTGTTTATTGCATAAATAGTTATCGAAAAATGAAGTTGAGGGCGAAGTATAAATCACGTCTAGAAATAGACTGAATCTAGACGTTGAAATGAAGTATAAATTTATACGTGTAAATGACGTCTACATCTATACTATGCTGCATATCTCTCCACGGTATCATAAGTAATATAATCCAGTATTAAAAGGTCAGTTATGCACATTACAGTTGTTTATTGCATAAAAAGTTATCGAAAAATGAAGTTGAGGGTGAAGTATAAATCACGTCTAGAAATAGACTGAATCTAGACGTTGAAATGAAGTATAAATGTATACGTGTAAATGACGTCTACATCTATACTATGCTGCATATCTCTCCACGGTATCATAAGTAATGTAATCCAGTATTTAGAGGTCAGTTATGCACATTACAGTTGTTTATTGCATAAATAGTTATCGAAAAATGAAGTTGAGGGCGAAGTATAAATCACGTCTAGAAATAGACTGAATCTAGACGTTGAAATGAAGTATAAATTTATACGTCTAAATCACGTCTAGAAATAGACTGAATCTAGACGTTGAAATGAAGTATAAATTTATACGTCTAAATCACGTCTAGAAATAGACTGAATCTAGACGTTGAAATGAAGTATAAATTTATACGTCTAAATCACGTCTAGAAATAGACTGAATCTAGACGTTGAAATGACGTATACATTTATACGTCTAAATCACGTCTAGAAATAGACTGAATCTAGACGTTGAAATGAAGTATAAATTTATACGTGTAAATGACGTCTACATCTATACTATGCTGCATATCTCTCCACGGTATCATAAGTAATGTAATCCAGTATTAAAAGGTCAGTTATGCACATTACAGTTGTTTATTGCATAAATAGTTATCGAAAAATGAAGTTGAGGGCGAAGTATAAATCACGTCAAGAAATAGACTGAATCTAGACGTTGAAATGAAGTATAAATTTATACTTGTAAATGACGTCTACATCTATACTATACTGCATAGCCTATCTCTCCACGGTATCATAAGTAATGTAATCCAGTATTTAGAGGTCAGTTATGCACATTACAGTTGTTTATTGCATAAATAGTTATCGAAAAATGAAGTTGAGGGCGAAGTATAAATCACGTCTAGAAATAGACTGAATCTAGACGTTGAAATGAAGTATAAATTTATACGTGTAAATGACGTCTACATCTATACTATGCTGCATATCTCTCCACGGTATCATAAGTAATATAATCCAGTATTAAAAGGTCAGTTATGCACATTACAGTTGTTTATTGCATAAATAGTTATCGAAAAATGAAGTTGAGGGTGAAGTATAAATCACGTCTAGAAATAGACTGAATCTAGACGTTGAAATGAAGTATAAATGTATACGTGTAAATGACGTCTACATCTATACTATGCTGCATATCTCTCCACGGTATCATAAGTAATGTAATCCAGTATTTAGAGGTCAGTTATGCACATTACAGTTGTTTATTGCATAAATAGTTATCGAAAAATGAAGTTGAGGGCGAAGTATAAATCACGTCTAGAAATAGACTGAATCTAGACGTTGAAATGAAGTATAAATTTATACGTCTAAATCACGTCTAGAAATAGACTGAATCTAGACGTTGAAATGAAGTATAAATTTATACGTCTAAATCACGTCTAGAAATAGACTGAATCTAGACGTTGAAATGAAGTATAAATGTATACGTGTAAATGACGTCTACATCTATACTATGCTGCATATCTCTCCACGGTATCATAAGTAATGTAATCCAGTATTTAGAGGTCAGTTATGCACATTACAGTTGTTTATTGCATAAATAGTTATCGAAAAATGAAGTTGAGGGCGAAGTATAAATCACGTCTAGAAATAGACTGAATCTAGACGTTGAAATGAAGTATACATTTATACGTCTAAATCACGTCTACATCTATACTATGCTGCATATCTCTCCACGATATCATAAGTAATGTAATCCAGTATTAAAAGGTCAGTTATGCACATTACAGTTGTTTATTGCATAAATAGTTATCGAAAAATGAAGTTGAGGGCGAAGTATAAATCACGTCTAGAAATAGACTGAATCTAGACGTTGAAATGAAGTATAAATTTATACGTCTAAATCACGTCTAGAAATAGACTGAATCTAGACGTTGAAATGAAGTATAAATTTATACGTGTAAATGATGTCTACATCTATACTATGCTGCATATCTCTCCACGGTATCATAAGTAATGTAATCCAGTATTTAGAGGTCAGTTATGCACATTACAGTTGTTTATTGCATAAATAGTTATCGAAAAATGAAGTTGAGGGCGAAGTATAAATCACGTCTAGAAATAGACTGAATCTAGACGTTGAAATGAAGTATAAATTTGGCGAGTACAAATGGCAATGATGCGTCCGTTGTCACAGAAACATATAATTAACCTCTGTTTTCTGGTGCAGAAGGAAGAAAGCTGTGCCTTTCTTTCATGACCTCAAGAGGGGACAAACTGAACCAACGAAGAGGTAATGAAAAGCCAGGTTGTAGAAATTTGGAAAAGAGCGTTTGAGTGGACTTGTCCTTCGAACTTATTCTGACATCAGGTTTAGGTCAAGACTCCAGGCGTGTTAAAAGTAGCTGTTCACAGAACCCTGTAAAAAGTTTTAAGGGGTCATATGAACGTCTGCTTATCTAATGTTTTAAAGTTTGCTGAGGTTGGATATCCAACAGTTAGGTCAGCATCAGATGAAGCGAAATATATTCCTAAAATGATGTTGCCCATCATTATCATTGCTAACAGCTAATTTTACTATAAGACGTCAAAGGTAAAATCACAGCATTCATTATAAACCTATTTAAGTACACCTATGTGTTGTTTTTATGAAACAAATGTGTTGCTTGTGTAAAAAAGCTCCACAGACACAAAACATCAATGTTTGAATGTAATAAATGACAAGTTTATTGTTGCACAAAATGTACAAAATAACAAGCAAATGGACAGCCCCATCCCGCCCCTGTATCATCCCTTCCCTCCCTCTGGTTCATTCGCCATAATGAAGCTGAATTTCTGAAACCTATGACTACGGCAAGTCCGATGGTCCAAGCCAAACGCATGGTAATTCTGAGAGACAACACATACCCAATTTCAGCGTCACTGAACAATTAAAAATGAATAAAAACACCTTATTTACACATTTCTGTCAGAACTTTTACAACATGCCATCTATATATTTATACAGACTATGCTTGTGCACATACCCCTGTATAGAAAATATATTATAAGATCAAATTAAATTAGACTAAGGGCTATAGACATCCAAAGTACAGCACTTCTTTTAATCTCCTTTTGAATCTTTTTTATTCTCATTTTTATTTCCCACTTAATCAGTTACTAAGTTCTTGAACAACTAAAATAAGAACCTCAGTCATAGATAGATGTGTTTTTCCTTGAGGACCCAAGCTGACCATGTAGATGCCTGTAGAGAAAAAAACCTCACATATTTACACTGGAACACTCAGATCTCCCCCCTAAAATGCACATGTGTAAATATGACCGCCTTTTGACTTGTGTGTTACAGTTAAAGTTCTTGGCTGCTCCTAACTCTCAAAGTTATTTAAAGTGATGACTCAAGATGTTAAACTAGAAGATTTCATCCCCCCTCAAACCCCCTTTTTTTCAAGTCTGTCTCAATGATGTAATAAAAGCATAAACCAATCAGCTTTGGCACTGGGTGAAGAAGTAAGTGTGCTGTGGTTTCCTAGAATATGCCTTTCTTGAATCCTGCAGATCATTCGTCCCTGTTTGTGCACTGATGTAAAGTCACATAACTGAAATCTGCTTTCAGGCCTTGAGTTAAACATCTTAGTGCAAAAAAAAAGGGATAATCAAACTTATTTTTCATGGTTTCTAAAAAGTAAATTGTACTGTGATTTCTAAACCACATTAGCACCATGGAGAAAAGAGAAAAGAGTGAACGGCATTGTTCAAGTAAAGCCAGACAACTCACAAGATGTTTGTGCTGGAACATTTACAGCATCAGGGCACAAAATGTTGGTAGAGTAACTCTGTGTTGAGGGACAACTGCATATCCCATGGCTGGATGGGCGGATGGTTGGGTGGTCGTGAAATAGGGGTGAGAGTGATGGGGAATGAGGAAGAAATCAGGGTGAAAATGAAGACCGCTCATGCTGTTACCTCTTTTCCTTCAGCTGCACTGATGTAGAAAATGAACAAAAGAGGCAGAAGCAAATCTCCGGAGTGTATCCATCACATTGCTTCATAATAAATCGGAGGTCAGTGCAGTGGAAGGAAACAGTGCTTAAACTCCTTTTGGTAAAACTGGGTGTGTGAGAGGGCACAAGGAAGTCTCTGGGATCAGTTTGGGATCAGATTTCAGGAGAAAGGAGATGACATTTTTAAAGTGTGTGCAAAAATACTCATCAGACTACTGACATGAACCCTTTTTTGTTACATTTTCAGTTTTCTTCAGTTCTGACCTTAAGTTTTGCAATAAAGCATCCTCTTTAATCCTACTTAGTTTTCATCTGCAGCTTTTGTTTCACTTGTGTTAATATATATCTATATCTTCTGGCTTTTTTTTTTCTCTTTTCTTACTTTACAAAATGAGAGACAGAATGATGGACAGCTGACAATATATATAATTATTATCCTCTTCTTATTATCATCAGGTTTCTGTAAACCTGGAGATGAATCTCTTTGTTCGTTGTAAACAAACAGGTTAATCAGCCACTGGCATTCGTTTCCTTCTTCAAGTGCACTCTCTTCATCCTCTCTCCTCGTCTTCATTGCAGGAGGGCCCTGATTTGTTTGGAGGTGCTGTCGTCGTTTAGATGCCGTGTCGTGTACCTAAAGGAGATGGTGACAAAGTGACAAAAGATTCTGAAATCAGCATGTGTATCATGTTTCTGTTGATCAGTGGAACACAAAGACAGATTCACACACACCTCAGTGCGTTCAGGAGTCCCTCCACACTGTTGGACGGCTGCTCTTTCAGCACCTTGATGCAGCCCTTCATCTGTGCGGCACAAAGAGAAAACAAGGTGTTTGAGAAAGGTCAGCAGCCTCAGATCCACCTGATCCCCCGCTGCTGCAGCTGCGGCAGCCGCACAAAAAATACCGACCATTAAAAACGGAACTCAGCTATTCAGTGTAGTTAGCTTACAAAGTTAAGCCTTGCCTTATTCCTGCTTTACATTTTCAGTTTTGTGTTCGTTAAGTGGAAATATAGAAAATATTTTCACCAGATTCCCTTCACTTGTACAAGCTACACCCTGTATTAAGTGGTACTACAAGCCCCTCTAAGCTAATGTTTCCAAATCATCGGTTAAAAGACAAAATCCAATCCAATCCATTTTATTCATATAGCACGATTTAAGCAAATGCAAAGTTTCCAAAGTGCTGCACAGCAAGATAAAAATACAATAAATAATAAGAGAGAAGCACAATAGATAGGGAAAAATAAAATGAGATAAAACTTGATGGAAGTCTTTTAGAGTAAAAACTTGACAAATGGAGAATCATACTTGTCATGCACTGTAGAGACTTCTTTCTTTAAAGACCCACTCTGATGAAAATCATCTTTTTCTTGTTTTTTATATGTTCATATGGCATTTTTCTGATGCTACAGGACAGATGAAATTGCTTTTCTTAGTATTTCTTCATTCAAATTGCTGTGAATCTCTGGCAGACCCAAACGGCAGGTTCAGCGAGAGTTCATACGCAACTAATCCAAGCTCCGCCCCCGAGCCCAGCTACGCAGGCCACACTCTGCATATAGAGGACGACTGCAGAACAAGCGTGTGCGTTAGCAGATTGCAATGCTCGTAAGAAAGCTAATTATGTTGTTAACTTTCATCGTGTCCCCAAAGACATTAGTGTCCGAGAGCTGAATAGCTCCTATGTTACCTGCCACTTCTACAACACCGGCAATGTTAGGCGACAAGCTAACATGAAGAGGAGTGTGCAGAGCAGCGCTGTCTCCGCCCACGAATTTGGGGGGAAATGCTAATGATCTACTGGAGCTCTGCAGAAGAAAAGCCCTTGAAAATGACACAAGTAACACAATTTTGGCCAAAAACTTCATAATCATAATTTAAAAACCACTGAGAACACTTCAGGTAGTAAAAAAAATGATCGTAGTGGGACTTTAAAGACCATCCTTGCTTTTAAAGCTTCACCAGAGGGCATGGCGAGTGTTTTACTCTTGGATCTGATCTCACGATAAATACTGATAAATACTGATAAATACTCCCATTTTCTACGTACGGTACCTTTACAGGGACATGAAAACTTTCCACAGATTCACAGAGTCACTAAATAATTTCACAGCTTGGCAGCTTTTAAAGGTGGAACCGGGCAGCTTTACAGCGTGTTTTACTGCCTTCAAGTGTTCCTCTTCATCCTCCAGACTATCATGAAGTGTCAAAAGATGGATACTTAAAATTGATTCCTAGCACATAAAAACACATAAATAAGTTTCTGAAACCATATCACATTATCAGTCAAGAACTAATAAACTTAAAGCTCATTTGTGGATTTGTGGATTTTTAATTCAAGGTCTGTGTGTGTACTCTACTGCTGCAGATCTGAAACACTCTTTAACTTTTCTGTGAATCTTTTTTTTTATTTTATGACCAGAATGACATCTGTTCTGACCAAAGTGTTGCTGAGCATCCTGGAGAGATAAAAATCGACATGAGGATTAGCTGGATTAGCACTTACATCAATTTTAGAGGTCTTGGCGAAGGCCCCGACAGGGTGAACGTGATCATAAAGAATGATGACTCCCACCATCACCCTCATACAGAACAGCATGGTGTCTGTGTTGGTGAATCGACAGCGGTACTCCCTAGAAGAAGCGGTCACAGAGGGAAGCAGTTTAAATGATTGAGAAATTAATAAGCCTGAGTATATTGGATCAGGGTGACCCTCAGAAAATGCTGCAGTTCTTCTTAGAACCTCTGTTTTTTTGTCTTTAATCAAGTTGCAGATGACTATTCACATAAATACGGCTATTTTAAAAGTTCAAACGTATAAAATCAACCATGAAGGGCTCTCTCACTCAGTTTTATTCATTAGCAGCTCAGACTTGAGAAGATTTCTTTTGTATTCACTTTGAAAAGGCTTTTCAATTGAAATCTTGGTCTTCAGCCTTTGCAGAGGGCAAGGATGAGAGATAGATGCTTGAGGAGGGAGAAACAATAGGAAGTACTCACGGAGTCTCCAGCATCACGCGGCACACACACGCCATGGTGCTCAGACAGTCTGTGGTGTCCTCGATGGGCAAGGTCTTATTCTGGAAAGAAAAAATTGGCAGAGAAAATCAGAGGGATATGTTAGTTTTTGTCAGTCTTACTTTTCCCTCCATGAGCAGATCTTTGACCACAAGGTGGGGACAGAGCACACTGTCAGAGCTCAGTCAAAGTTTGAGGTCTGCACGCCACTTTGCTAAAACACAGCCGTGACCTGCATGTCATCTACATTTTACATGAGTCTCAAAAGGATTTCTCAAAAGCTGAGCTGTCAGGATGCACCGATGTGCAAAGTTTAAAACTTGCTGCCTCCTAAAATAGTGTTTGGAAATAAAACGCAGGGAGAGAAGGGAAGTTTTCACGGAACAGTCCAGTGTGGGCACTGAGGTAAATCAGTGGTGAAGTCTACAAGTCTACTTTTTCCTAATCAACAAATCTCATATTAGTGCATTGTTTTCTACTAGGGAGGTAAAATCCTGTTTTCAACCATTTATATTTCTGAGTATAAATGTAAAAGTTGATTTTGGTTAATTTTTTTAAGCTTTTTCATCACTTGAATTTTATATTGTCATGTGATGTATGATAGATATTCTATATATTCATCAAAAATGTGTCACAATAGAGCACAGTGTGGAGTCATATATTTGCTTTAGGATTTTTTACTGTCAAAGTTAATCTTTACTTTGTCATATTTGATACTGGGATTTATTTGCAATGCTTGATCTCAACAAGATTTGATGAGATTCACATCAAATCTCAGCATTTTTTTTTTATTTACCTATAAATAAACAATGTGTTTGACAAATACAGTTAATTCAATTTATGCAAGTTAAGAATGTGGTTAAGCACATTTATTTAAGATTTATCTAAAAATACAAATTTGAGGTTCAGTGTGATGCATGACATGCTAATTTAACGGACAACTCCACTTAAGTCCAATAAACTTTGAATTTTGATAAACTATTAAATGTTTAACATTCATATTAAAAGAGCATTCAGTTTTGCTTAAAACACTTTCATAATTTTCCTCACCCACTTTAGGTCTCTTGTCTTTTTTTTATAACTTAATTGAAATGATCATACAGTTTTGATTTAAATACAATTATGTCCAAAAGGAGCACTGCATTTTTTCTCCTTCTTATTTCATTTTTCAAAAGAAATGGAAATGAAAAAACCCAAATAAAGAATTCTTTACACATTTACATGTCAGCAACATACATATATACCCAGACTTGTACTGTACCTATATGCATACATACATAAATTATATGTATATATATGTAAACTATCATTTTTTAGTGGAGAAAACTAACCTGAATGCTACTTCTACCCGTTCCCGATGCTCTCTAAATCACCTTTTATTACTTAAACTTGAGTGTTTCTTGTAGTCGCAGTAACAAAAATTACTAGTTGCACTTGGACTGCAGCTCAGTTTATAAATCACCAGGTCTTGATAAAGCACACTTGTTCTCTGAATTACCTCTGAAACAAATTTGGTGGTGGCGTTACTCAAAGTCTTCAGCATGGGTGTTGCTTCAGCGTAGAACAGGGACATCCGGTTAGCCATCTCATTGTTGACCTCGTTCTCTGCTTCCAGCTGCAAGCCAAAACAAGCCAGATATTGTATTCTTCAAAAACATAATCCCCCACACTTAGTCCAGTAATCTGTAACAAAGCAGCCAATCTTTGCAGAGTGCTTTTACAGTCTCTGTATGGATAGTAACACCTGCAGTTCAGCCAGAAAATGAAGCCCAGCTGCACCATACAGGGAACACAAAAAGCCTGAATCCAATCTTGTCTCTCCAACTCACCTGCTGGTTGTTCAGCCTGTTCCTGCTTATAGTCCTCCTATAGTAACTGAAGTCATTCTGAATGGCTGGATTTGTCATCTGCATTGAGACAGGAGAAGTGATGTTGGTTTTCAAAAAGCAATTCACAGAGAATATTGATTTTTCAGTACATTAAAGGTCAGTGTCCGGGGGGGCTGTAATTAAACCGAGAATGAATTCTCTTCACCTTTAGTTCGTCAAAGCTGAGCGTGAAATGAAGGATCTCAGCAAACTGTTTGGCCAGAGCCTGCTCTCTCTCCAGGTGCTGCATGGGAGCGTACGGCGGGCTGGTCAGTGCCTCCAACAGACTACGCAGGGCGTTCTCTGCAAAAAAATACCATTACTTTAGGGATGTGCAAACTGGAATCTGCATTTCATACAAATACAACAGTGCAGTTTTTTTAATGTCATTGCATTTGGACTGTTGTCAGTCTCTTAAATATTGCTTGGATGTGTCATCAGTTTCATTGTCACCAAATGAAAAATAATCAAAGCAGCAAACTTTAAAGGGGTTCAGACTGTTGAAATCACTTCACACCATGCATGCTTTTCAAAATGGACCTAGCACTTTCAAGTGGTAGACCTTTGGATCACCTCTCAGAGTAAAGGGTTTATGTCCTCAAAGAGGGGCCCTCTGGCTGAGATTTGATATTCAATTCGGTCAAAAATTTACCATCACAGCCCTCAGGCTTTAGAGCTACACATCTGTCTAACACTTAGCATGGGGAGTCTTTATTTCACAGATATTTTTAGCTAGGCTATAGTGTGATAGCTCCAGGGTTGGGAGTCATGGTCTGCTAATCGATCAGCCTGCCACTTTGGTCCAGAGTGAAACATAGCAGCAGCTGTAACTTCATGGACTGCCATGAAATTCGGTTAATATAGTCATGATGCCACCAGGATATTTTGAAATGACTTCAATAATCTTTTTAAAGTACCTCCCTCATTTAGACTTACTCTCTAATAATGAAAATTGACTCAGAAAAAGGTCAAACTTCATGCAGTAGAACCAAAGACTTAATCTTGCACAGTTCAACTTGACCCTGTCAGAATGGGTATTATGCACCGACCCACTACTTCCTGAACTTAAGGCGGCTTCTTTATTTCCTGTCTTACATGATTGGACAAACTGATTAATCAAGGGCTGTGTCCGGATCCCTAACCCCCATATAGGTGACTACATGGGGGTAAGCGCCATTTTGAGGGGTGTCCAAAACCTCAGTGATCAATTCCAATGCCCAATATTGGTGACTCAAAATTTCCCATAAAGCATTGCAAAATGTAGTGACCATCCGTGTGTGTGTAGCAGCAGATGATGCTAGCTTAAAATTAGCAGAGGAAGAAGAAGAAGAACTTTATTGATCTCCAAGGAGAAATTCAATGAGAGCAATGCTGTTATGAGATAGATAGGGAGCAGACTGAGATAATCTGGTAAGATTTGATTTTTTTAACCCCTTATTTTGCATGCAAACAAGGTCATACAAAGACCATTCTAGAAAAATCTCTTTTGAGATACAAAATTATTCAGTCTATCTGCTTTATATTTACAAATAATATGTGTCAAGATGTACAATACCTGAATTAATGGGAGCCTCCAAAGTTAACGGCAGCTACATTACTTCAGCCTCAGCTAAGCTACAATAGTATGCTAATGTAAGCAGCTGAACATTGTAAACATTGTTAACATGCCACATTTTCTACTGTATGCACGCTTACATTAGCATTATCATCAAAGCAGCAGTCAGCCTCGCATGCTAACTCCCATGGCCATACGTTTGGGTTACATTAAGAACCAGCAGAGTCTTACATGCTGAGTATCAAGTCAAAGCACTTGTTAGAAAGACCAGAATGCACATACTATAATGCATGTTCTAATAAAGAAAGGGACAGAGGATATTCACGTGGCAATCTTTCACATCCCAGTCTTTAGCTCCTTTTTTGCTCTCTTTTTCATGTCCTTTTACACACGACTCAGAGAAATATATGGAGTCACAGAGTTGGAAACATGGCTACCAACTTTGAAGTCTTTCTATGACACATTGAGCTCAGCCTTGACAGTAATTTTGACCTTTTCAAAGGTTTAAGAGCTCACTTTCCCCCCTCCATGACCACAGGCATTAGCAATCGATTTCTTTGAAAGATTTGATTAACATATACTCTAAGAGATCACACTGCAACTTATCCAACACCCTGATCACCGTGACCCTGAATCAGTGACCGTATATTACCACTGTGCCACATCTGCTATTGAACCTGAGCCTTTTCAGCGCTATAGTTCCTCTGACTAATCAGACACCAGAGCCAGACCTCAGAGGCTGTATGTCGCAGTAATGCCTCAGAAGCAGAGTCCCTTGAGGCTCCATCCCTTCCTCTGTGTTAAATATGCATAAGGGCCTTCTATAAATACAGCAGAGAAGTGTTTCATCTAAAGGGCCTGGCCAGAAACACGCTCTCCCTCCTGCTGTTAGCGCAGAACGTTACCTTGAGCCCTGAATCCCCAGGGTTTATTCCATCAGACTGGACTGAGAAACACCGCAGCTGTTTTGTTTACTTTGCATGGGGCCTTTTACCCTCTTATTGCCTCTTTGATCAGACACATGAATAGAAAAAGTTGTTTGCTGCTGGGAGGAAAACAGGATGGGTCATGTAGTTTTCGCTGTCTGATTTGATCTCTTTTTTCATCCTTAATGAGGGCTGGAAGACTGTGTCCACAAGATCTGTGTTGTACTGATACATTAGCCCCGATACATTATCATGAATAATTAGTCAGCCCTCCTTCTACAGTAAGCTGAGAACACCATGTCCACGAGATCAAAGTATTATTGGAAGGCAGAGCAGAGGCGGCAGCCAAACTCCATTTCTCTGCTCATACTTCTCTCTTTCTCTCTCTCCACTCTGTACTGGACGAACATGTACCACTGTTTCCGTAGCAACGGCTGCCTGCCTGCTAGGTCAGGATGCTGCAGAGATGGCTGGGAGGACATCATGTAGTGTGTGTGCATGTGTGAGTGTATGTGATGTCAAACTGAAATGCATGTAAAAATCATACTGGTGGTACATGAAGTGAAGCTGTGAAGCAGCAGAGTACAAGATGAGCTTTTTCCCGCTGCTTGTAATGATTACAGTTCGCATGTATATTCATCTGCCTCATTTTTCAAGCTCAGAGAAACATGTTCAGTGTCGTCACTGTGCTGTGGTTCAATTAACTCTATTTCTCCAACGCCAACAATACAAAAAAGGAAGGTTTCAGCTGAAATGCTTCAGCACAAATAACATCAAATAAACAGATAAAGGAGAGAGAGACAAAGCAGAAGTGCCAATGATGCAGCTTTCACCTCATCTTGTTTCCTCTTTTGCAAACTAATTCAGTGTTTCATCTCTCAAGGTAAAATAATGTATTTTAATTACTTTGATAAGTGGCTGACGTCACACTCCCTGCATTTATTTGGGATTTTCACTTGCACTTACAGCTCCAGTTTTACCTCCAATATTGTCACCAGCGAGTGTTAAATCTAAATTCCTATAGAAATAAAAATGTATTCGCCATGCTCACCCAGTCGGAGGGAAAACTCATAGAAGCGCTTCAGTTTGGCCACCAGGGGGCACACTGCATTCCAGGCCTTCTCCTGAAGAGCGAGGTCACCTGGGTTCTGGATGGCCTGCGGACAGAGAGAGCAGAGGCAGAAGCTAAATGAACAGATGTTATGAGGAAAAAATGATTCTAACTTCATCATCTCTTCTATCTTTTCATCTTTCAAGCAGTTTTAAACTTAAGCTAAAACACTTTTACTGTGGGGTTATGGGCTCCATGTAAAGATATCACATTGGGGTTCGGCCACAAAAACTCAAGCCAAGTTTTTTTGTTTCCCATTGAAATTAATTAATGTCCTTTTTTGACCTCTTACAGTCAATGAATTATACTTAACAGCAATAAGCAAAAGTGAAAGCCTTTGAGAGAAATGTTACCATGGCTATCTTTAATCATCTTAATTCCATTTTTAAGTTGGTTTATCTTGAATTTTGCTGAAAACGATGACCAGTTTACAGTAAATAAAACAGATTCAGTCTTGTCTCTCCCTCAAAATAAAAATGATTACCTTCAGTTCTCTTATTTAAAAAAAAATAAAATAAAAACAACTACAAAAATCTACCCAGGACTATTTTCTTTATCAGTGCCTTGAACAGTCAGTCTAATTTTTCTCCTCATGAAAGAGACATTTTAGACTTTAATTAAACATGCTTGGACTTTATCTTCTCAGAAAAAAATACGTGTTAAATGTAATTTCCCAGTAAGCCCAATTAAGTTTTACTGGTATCATACTATTTCTGCTTCCTCACACGGCACTATCTTCTTAAGTTATTCTGATTATACATGAAACCACAGATAATTAAACTGCAGTTTTAGCAAATGTTATACTGAGCAGCAATAGGACACGGGTGCATCAGCTGGGAGCTTATAAAAGTCAGGGATTAAACAGTGTTGTTTTTGGCAGGCATTTTAGATTTAGTTTTAGTCTTAGTCATTTTGACGAAATGCTTCTTCGTTTTAGTCCCATTTTAGTCATTTCTATCCTTGATAGTTTTCGTCTAGTTTTAGTCCGACCAAAACTCAAAAGGTTTTCGTCTAGTTTTAGTCGACGTAAAGGTGCCTTTTGAGGTTCGTGGTGTTCTTTCCCGACAGTTTGAAGCATGAGGAAGCTGTGGCTCCACAACTGTCGTCTGTCTCGTCTCCCCGTCCCGTGTTTTATTGTCACTTTTATTTTATTGTCACTTGGACTGTATCTGAAGTAGGACCAGAAATCATCCCTCTTTTTTCGGCCACCGGGCACCGCTGCTGTGCCTGCCGCCACGGTGTGTGTGTGCGCGCGCCTCGTCCACCTGCCGCTCTGTGTATGTGAATGAGTGTGTGCGCGCAGCTGTGCGCGAGCGAGGCTTTTGATGCGTGTGTGATGGGGGCGTGACTGTTAGGACAAAAAAAAGCATGTTTTGAAACTTTGTTCGTCCACCTAATAACAATTTAGTCTCGTCTCGTTCTCGTCTGACGAAAATGAATACAATTTTCGTCACATTTTAGTCTTTACAGAGCTTTGGTGACATTCGTCTTAGTCTCATTTTCGTCAAGGAAAAAAGGGGTCTGACGTCGTCATTTAAGTTTTCGTCCTGCCTGACGAAAACAACACTGGGATTAAAGCATGTTTGTTTGCTTGTGGGTATTTGGGGCTGCAAAAGAGAGTTGGCGGGTTTTTCTGTGGGTATACTGCCACAATAATAATACCAGTTTTAATGAATGTATCCTTGTACTGTGGAGGACTCATATACGACTCTTTTGAAGCAACATCTTAAAATGAGGACGCAAATAAGACAAAAACCAGGAATCTTAATCAATGCATGGCTCAGAAAGATTCAAAGAACAAATTGTGCAGGAAGTTTCTCAAACTCATTCTGCCTACGACTAACAAATCATCTCTGTCTGTATGCAATATGTTCATTGTTAGTCGAGCTATAAGTCACAAGTGAAGAAATCACAGTTCACGAAAATCTGTAAAACTGCTCAAATTTACTTTCCAATAGACAACCAGAGATAATACATCAATCGGCCTGTAAAAAAAAAAGCCATATCTGCTTTCAAATGGTTATGAATCTTAATTTTAACTCTAATGGTTGTCAAATTTGACCATTTATATACCTGTTAATTAGATAACATAAATATAATAATGAAATCAAACTTCGATGTGTTTGGTGAACAAACATCATGATGCAAGTGTATGAAGCTACACTGAACAATGATCTCCTCAGTGTGAACCACAACTATAAAAACAAGAATTGTGATACAACTTGCATTAATATTTATGCATTTGAGTTTTCTACATCATGCATTAGTTTCGTATCACTTTGGCATGTTATTTTTACGTTTGAGAATTAATTTTTATAACAACAGTGTGGCTCTGGGGCGCAGCAAAACGTACTTTAATTGTCCTCACAGGTTCATATCTTAGGGATCATTTAATTGAAATTCACTGATTTTCTGTTGATGTTTTCACCAATATAAAAAGTAGAATACTTCAAAAACTTAATTCTCCTGCGATGATAACACCCACATTCAAATAACATGTGCCATAATTCCCCGTACAGTCTCATTTGGCTAATTTTAACACAAACTCAAGAAATCTCGTGTCAGCGTACAATGAAAAACATAATATGGTCTAAAATATGATGGTATAAAGGGGTTAACTCCAGTGTGTGTCCATGTTTGTTAAATGACTCCTGGACCCCAAGGTGAGGAAGTGAGAAAAGGGGCAATTCAGCACTATTTGTTAACAAGTACAGCAACCCCAACAGCTGAGCAATCAGCAGCAATCGTTGACACTGCAGGGGGAACTTCGCATGAACGTGTCGTGGGGCAAAACTGCACCTGAATACATTAAAGGAGATAGTTTTGCACCAAGACTAGAATACCAGCTTCCCAGTCAGTGATATTCCTGCTGCTGCTGCTGTATAACATATGAAGTTAGTTAAAAAATAACACTTCTCTGTCTCTATAAGTGCTTCATGGTGCACTGCATATCCTAATTTCACCATAGCAGTTGTCAAACCCTCATGCGCACTAGTTTTAGCTTGACTGTTAATCAATGTCCAACACTTATTGACTCCTTTGTGCTCACTTCTCGTATCTCCTGGCCTGCACCATTATAGGACTGCAGCTCGGCTAGGATCCCATGAGCCTCCTCCAGCACAGCGCTGACCTGGTTCCACACGGCTGTCTCTGCCTCTGTGGGCTGGGCATCTGGGAAAGGAAGATGGCAGGAAAGCAAAGAGGGAGGACAGGAAAGGGGAAGAGAGGAAGGGAGAGGGGGGAGGAGGAGGAAGTGAAAGTGTGATGTAAGGGTACGGGTGGTTATGAAAATATAGAGGGGAGAAGGCAATAAACAGGGAAGGAGACAATGGGAGACCAAAGGAGAGAATTGAAGAGAAAAGGAGGTTAGTATTGAAGGAAGAGTTGAAAGATGACATCCTATAAGGCCAGTTTAAAACCTTTGGTACATAATTACTACAATAACACAGGGCTGCAAATAAAAGCCAAATGTTACAATGTGACTGGACTTTTTGGCTTTGCGAAAACAAGGACAAAATCTGGCCAGTAAATGGATGATTTGATTTACCCAACAGTATCATAACAAGAGGCCTGCAAGCCACCCTCTGTTGCACAGTGAGGTTTGTGTGGTCATCCAATGAGGACCGGAAGATGACAAGTCAGTTTCAGTTCTGGGAATTACTGAATGATAATGTTTCAACCGGCAGTTTAACACTTTAATGGTTTTCAGCTGTCATAAAACTGCCCGGATTGCATCACTTGGACATTTCCGACTCCTGAGTGGCAATCATTTGAAGAACCGTTCTTCCAGCGGAGATTTACTCTCCCCAGGATAGGTGTAATTGTCCTATCACATTGATGTAATACTCCTATCCGTCTTTTCCTCACTTTCCTCTACCGTGTCTCTGTATGATTAGAAACACACCTTTTTTACCCCCCTGAGGTTTAATTGTGAGAAATGTTAAAACAAACAAGCAGCAGGGAGAACAACCCTTGGGCTTGTTCTCTCTCCTCTCTGTCTGTGTTTCACACGAACACACTAAGCAGAACACAAACTGTAAACTCAGTGTTTTTTGCCGCAGGGCAGCTCCTAGTCACAGTTCTGCTTTGTTTGCCCATGTCGCTGTACTGCATGTGTACAGCAGGGATTAAATGGTTAAGGGACACAATTTAGGATATGCTCTCTTGAGTCGTCGTGTTTTGTTTTTTCTCTTCAAGCTACATAGCTCAGTGTGACTCAGGTATACTGTGAAGGTAGCAGCGTGCTCAGAAAGCTCTCCACACGAAGTAGCACTGCTGATTATTTTTGCACCCTGAGGCATCGCCTTTCTGCAGAGGAGTAGTAATCATGAAATATTTGCTGTCCTAGGTGAACATGGGCTGCTGTTATAAAGAGAGTGAGCACGACAATTTTTAAGATGACTCCTCGCTGATATGCTCTTCGATTCCTCTAGTAAACAACATGATGTTTTGTAGCACTTAAAATATCACTGTTTATCCTCACAGGATTGCAGGAAGAAGGAAGAATAGTGTGTTACATTAGAGGAGATGATAGATAATGGTTTATTTCTGGGTCTAATCGGGAATCTGTAGCTGGGAAATTATTAGTTCAGCTTTGCATAAAGACTGGAAGCAGAGGTTGCCAGTTAGCCTGTCCCTGTCTAAAGGCTCCCTCTATAACTTCATGCCAACCTCTCAAGCACTGTAGCTGGGGATTTTAAGAGCTGGATCTTCTCTTTCACAAGCGCAATGACGTCGTACATGGAACCCAGCGAACAAATTTCATTCATTGTAACTTTGGAGGTACTTTTAGGTGGATTTTGTAACCTCTGGCGAAAGCTTTTGTCTAATGTTCAAGTCATTATGTTATGCTAAATTAAGAGACTTGATTTTGCACCAGAAAACTCTGAGCAACATGTTTTTTTTTTTATTTGTTACATAGGAAATAATCCAAATTTTCAACCGTTTTCATCAGACTGTCATCATCCTGATCCTTCAAAAGTCTTTCACACATTTAAAATCACTTTATGAAAGCCCAGTATGGAGTTTAGACCAACTCTGATCTGTGTGACAGAGGTAGCTGGGTGGAGTAGGAGAGCTCACAGATGGCATAGAGGTGGAGGGGACAGGAGGCTTGGAGTATAGGGAGGATGTCTAAAGATGTAGCTAATGCCTCAGTCTGACTCATTCCACTTGTTTGAAAGTAAAGTGAATCACAGGCATTATAAATGAAAGGTACATTTAGCCTGTTTGACGGCGGACATCTCTTGCCAGCAGTGAGCACTCCCACTCCACCTGTAAGAAACAGTAACAACAGAAGAGGAGGAGGAGGAGGAGGAGGCAGCTGTTAAAGGGAGAAAGTGGTTGAGGAGGGGAAGATTATATTGTTACACACTACAAATATCTCCATCTTGACAAGTCATTTTTTTTTTCTTATAACATGGCTTGATTTTAGTATTTACCAGAATGAGGGAAAAAAAGGAGCACAACAAGCCAAACCACTCTTGATGGTTACATTTTTAGCTAGTTAGCATGGTTTTGAGCTAGCATGCTGATGTTAGCATGTGGTTGAACATACAGCTAAAGGTTGACAGAGCTGCCTGCATGCTGTTGACTTTAGTAACAAAAGGAGCGGATGATTTCAACTCCTGGGCTTAAATAAAATGACTTGTTGAGATGGACATTTTCACCCTGCTAAATTTAAATTCACCGACAGGGAGAGAGGGGAGATAGAGGTGGCTTATTTTAGCAACCTCTTATGTATTCACTTTCTCTTTCACACAATTTTAGTGCAACACACACACGCACACGCATACACACAAGTGCAGATAGGTCAGGCACACAATAGGGGATGAGGAGATGAAGAGGTGGAGGGATGACGATAGACTTCTTTTTAGCCATCATTATCCCTGAGCAACAGACACCCACACAGGACTGGCATCCTCTGTTTACTTCTCTTAGTTTTTGTAGCTTGGGAGCTCAGATCAAAGCGTTATTGTTGTCGTTTTGTTACCCCGTCACCACGCTATTGTGCATCTGTCTGCCTCTAATAAGAAGTGACATGTGTGAGTAAGACCCTTTAAAAGCAAGCCAAATGACTTTCAAATGCCAGTCCCCGGAGCAGAAATCAAAAGATAAAGACGAGAGGGCAGGAAAAGGAGAGGAGCAGAGGAGGGGGGGAAAAAAGGGTAAATAAGGATGTTAAGATGACACAATGGTCAGCTAAGAATGGTGGAATGAGGAAAACAAAGCAAAGGCAACAAAGAGAAAGGGATAACTCAAAAAAATAAGAAGCGGATGGTCTCACGTTCAAAGTCAAGGAAAACTATTGGGCCATGCTCAAGTTCGGCGCAAGCCAGCACTTTCAGGAGGTTTCCCATGAGCCCCCTGGAACAGAAGAGGGGAGAATTCTGTGGGTGATGAGGGGATGGGTGTTGGGGTCGTGTGCGTGTACTTCTGTGTGCAAGTGTGTGAGGTGTATGTGTGTGAAGGTGTGGGGTGGGGGGCTGGATGAGAACAGGGGTTGCTGGGATAGTAATGATGGAAGAATGTCCTGGGTGAAGCATGGCAACATGAACGCAGAGCTTCTGTAATCCCACTCCTTTGCTTTTCTTGAAAATTCAATGTAATGTTAACTGAAGAGTTTAAATCACATTTAAATCACAATTTATGTGGTTAAAACATACATAAAAAAATCAATGTGGTGATAAGCTGAGAAGAAACTCAAAATGAAAGGATATTTGTTTTCGTACGAGGCAAAAAAAAAAAAAAATCTGACAAGTTAAATAAAGACAAAACAGAAAAATTACCTTAAATGCTGTTCAGAAAGATGGTCCATTTATGGTTGGTTATTGCTTATAAAAAATGCTGGTTACTAGGGCTGCCTGAGTAAACCAGCAGTAGCTGTTGTCAATGTCAAAGTATTACATTACGCCAATGTATTCCCTAGTATAGTGCTTCAGTTAAACCTTTGTAAATTCTTGTTTTATCTTGGGAAAATATGATATATAACATTGGATATTGATAATATTAATAATAACTTTGATACAGTCATTTAATGGTTGCCTTTTGTGTGCATAGATGCATGTAGAAAGGATGTTAGAGCTACAGAGATTGAAAAAGAAAGTTGCCACATTTTGTAGATCACCACAAAGTTGTGAAAGAGGTAATGGCAGAATTAAACTTTCTCTTGAACTGGAACTGGTTTGCGATCATGGTGATGCTTGTTTGCCTCACTGTGTTTACAAGCGCTGTTTATTTACACCTACACACTGTGGTTAGTTGACACGGTTATTTGACAAAACAGTTTTTTCACATCAGAGAGCTCTGAGAGTGGGACTAGAGAGCGTCTGATAACAACAAACCACACCCACAACACCACTCCATCACACCACCAACAACTCAGCAGCTCGCATCCCACTGAACACCTTCGCTGCACACATGTGCGCTCACATTTCAAGCACACAGCCACGTGCACACACCCCGGCTCTCACTTACTTTCAAAGTCCAGGAAAAAATGTGGACAGTTCTCTAAATCCTTGCCAAGGACCTTAATGAGGTTCCCCATGGCTGGCGACCTGGACGGAAGGAAACAACAAAATACATACAGTACGCACAACCTGGCAACCCGCAGAAAAAACACAGCATGCACATGGAGAACCCAGCAGGTTGTGAGGGATTTATTTTATTTTTTACCCATCTGCACTTTTTAATTACTCCTCTTCCTCTTCTCCACCTCCATCCTTCTGTCTAAGCAGTACGTCCAAAGCAAAGTCAGACATTCCTCCCATAAATTACACTGATCACAATTCGCATCCCATGCACAGTGTATCTGCTGTATTTGATTAGAGGGGGGCCTAAATCCAGTAGTGAATCATTTAGCTCACTCATTGGGAGTCACTATAGCTGAGCAGTGGTTATAATCCATTTACACTACTATAGTAACCTAATCAAAGGCTGCAATGCACGGGCTACTCTCCCCTAATGCCCTTTATGTACAGCAGTCCATGGATACTTTATGACAAGCTCTTTATACTTTATACCCAAAGGCCAGATGCCAGCGCTTTATGAGACAAATGATGCAAGCTTTATTAGATTGTACTGTAGGTCAAACAAGCTGTTCTGAACGCTCGTATGTTCATATATATAGCATCAGACTAAACAAGATGTGTCAGGTGGTTTTGTTGAAAACCTTCACAGGGGTCTCTGCTTTTAAACTGTTACTATGAGCGGTGTGACACTATCTTCAACTCAATGGAAACTCAAAATTAGCCCATGCTCTGTTAGGTAAAAGGGCATGAATCATGAAGTCAAATCAAGCTTTGACATAACACTGCAGACAGTGTCTGTTTTTTTTTTTTTCTTTTAACAAATACAGGACATTTTTTTAAAAATTATTCCTTAGAGACCAAATCAAAGTCTGTAGAGTTATATCAGAACAGTTTGTGTAATGGTAAAATATGTTGATGACATGAGATTTTATTTCTGAAATGTGGCTTAACATACATTAAAAGATCATTTGTTGCAGGTATCTTACAAAAAAAATAAACAGTATCTGGTATATGATATATGAATATCTATATCCTGAGCCATCAGCAGTTTACTTAAGCATGCAGAGATCCTAAAGTACAAACACAAATATGTCCAGTTAAACTCTTTTATTTCTTTTCAAAGTCATTGTTATATTTGTGAAAGTAAAGTCAGTGTAATTTTAGCCATCATGAAAATTCACATCATCACTTATGATCAATACCCAGACAGTCTGACTAAAGACCTCCACTGAAAGGACAGGAAGTTGATTTGATTTGAAGCCTTTCAAAATAAAAACAGATATACTGGGCGTAAATTAAATTTTTTTATGTCCAAAGTTGACTCTAAGCCTTTCAAATTAAAAGCGATTGTGCCGTGAAGTAATTTTTTTGTCTTGTGTATATATCTATTTTTTTTCCTTGGGGCTTTATTTATGTATAAAATGCTATTATGATTTTTTTGTGTGTGTGTTTTCATGTGTTCAACAAAAACACAATACAAAACAGGATTACCACTTCAGTTAAACTAGAGCGCGTGAGAAAAAAACGTCACCTCGGGTCCTCTCAGTAGAGCAGGTCCTCTCAGAGGAGGTCAGTCAGACCCCTCTTGACGGCACTCAGTTGTACATTTTCAGTGTGTGACAGAAATTATTTGGCCTTCAGTGAGACAGCAGGAAATTTATGAACGTTGTTATTATTGTGCTCACTTTTGAGCTTGCTTTACCGTCCACCACATTAAAACAGAAAGCACGGAAGAAGTGAACGTTTTGTGAAACATCTGTAGATTTTTCAAAGCAGATAGTTTTACTATCAAAGTGTGCTGTATTAGCCTACTGCTATAAGACCAAGAAAGTCTATTGAATCAAAGAGGGAGAGAATTGACCGACTTGTATGTCACAAAACATACAAAAAACAACTGAAATCAAATCCTTGAAATACTTCTAAGCTGTGCAAGTATAAACGCCTCCTCTGGATCACAGAGGGACTTTGGTAGCTGACTCAAATCAGCTGCCAAGTTTCACTTCCTCTACTGTACCCTCTGTATTTATGTGCTATGTTAGCACACAGTGGACGCCTATCAGTTTCCCCCTGCAAGAGTAATTTATGGCCAGCATTAGCATGTTTATGAGAAGCCACTGTGCTGCAAAAAGCCCGTTGTATTCTCTGTTACTCAGCAAGAACCTGTGTTGCAATGCAGCACTCAGGTACAGCTAGACAGGATTGAGTTTCAATATCCAGCCGCTGAGGCAGCTTTCTTCTGGAGGAGATTTACAAAAACCAGCGATTTTTCCTTCCTTCTGTTTCTTCTGTATCACATGTTTACTCTTGGCCATGACATCTATTCAGAGGTGCTGAAAGAGAGCTATATGCTGAGTCACAGCTGGAACCTGTGAGCATCAGCCCAAACATGGAAAACACACCCTGTCTCCTCTTCTTGACTTTTAGACCACCTGCTCTAAAATTGCAGGACGCTATGAATAAATGCATAACAGATTCATAGCGATGGCCTGACAAGGTGATCGCAAAGGTGAAGCCAAGCTGAGTTTCACATCACACCGCCGTTCATAGCAATGAAAGCTTTCTGACATGTTAATAGGTAAGTGTGTGTGGGTGTGTTTTAGGTAGCTACACATCAACCGCACTCAAACAAACACACACAAAAGAGTAACACACATACACCGAGTCTGGAGCAGCAGCATGTGGTCCATCCAGAGAGCAGTGCTCGGCTGATGGTTGCCAGGATACTGTTGGCCTGGTGATATCGTCTGCTCGTCTCAGCAGAAGATGTGGGAAAATAAAGCAGCCACTTTGCTCACACACTGGGTCATTTGCTAACAAGACTGATCTGATGCTTCAGTTCAGCTATCAGAGTTTGTATTTGAGGCAGAATTTACATGACAGATATTCACTTCAATGTCGTGTAATACAACAGGAAATCATTCGACTGTAACCCACAGCTTCTCCAGCCTCTTTTCCTGCCATTAATTTACCTCTTCCTTTGTCCTGAGTCTTCAGTTTCTCTTCCTCGCTCTCAACTTTGTCGTCCCTGCTTAGTTAAATCGTTGCTGTAAGTAAATCCCAGGTAGCACTGCTCAGAGCGATGACTGCAGTTCCCCGCGGCTCTGGTCTGCTTCTCTGAGAGGCTGATGTAAACTTCTGCTGTCGCTCTTTCTCCCTCTGCCTCTCTCTGCGTATCTCCGTCCACTTCACACTTCTCTTTTTCAGGCATCTATTTAAAGTTCCTGTGGTTTTCTCTATTTGATCAGCGAGCTACATGCTTCTCTTTGTTTTCTTTTCAGTAGCTTGTGGAAGCAGACACCCTGCTGTGTGAGTATGTTGATATAAAGCATGAAATATGTTTTATGTACTGTCTCTTTCCTCTGGCTCTGTTCTCCTTTAGCGTGTCTTTATCTTTACAGTTCATAAGAAAATAAAAAGATTTCCTTTCTTTTTCGTTCTGACGTCAAAATGGGTTCCTCAAAAAATATCCCCTCCAGCTCTCCTCTCTGCCCCACTTCTCTATTTCAACACTCAGCGGCACTCTCTCAGCTCCTTTGGCCTTGTCTTGTCACAGCACATCTCTGTCACGATGCGTGCAGTCCCACTGGTGGCCCTTAGGTGCAAGCAAATCTAAGTGTCAGAATGGGAATGGCGATCAGTGCATAAACGCATATTTCCTGCTCCAAAAAAAGGAACGCCAGTGAATGTTTTAAAGGCGCTAGTCTGGACAGACATGAAGACATGGCATTCTGTGAATCAGGAAGTGTGTTGGTGGCTGCTGGTTGCAGTTTCCCTCACATGCAAACACATACACAGTGTTTGCAGTCAGTTAAAGTGGAGCAAAGTGCTCCTCTTATGCAACTGTCCAGCACACAGCTCTCATCTGTAGTCCAGCAAGAGCAACCAAACTGAGGGGCTCCTCAAGTCTTAATAAAGACGCAGCTCAGCTCCCACATGGCGTCTGAAAAGCAAACCTGGTCAACACTGGAAGCCAAGCAGCAGAGTAAAGCACCCCGGCTTCCTTTCAGCTCCCTCTGAAAGATTCCTCCTGTTACGGCCCAGGAGCTTCATCTGTGTGGATTTAGTGAGTACTGAAACAGCTCTGCTCGTCTTTGCCAAGTCTAACCTCCATTAACTCATCAATAACACCATCTGAACCCCCTTTCTCCATCTGTGTGCCTTTCTCTCTCATCGCCTCATCCCTCGATGATCTCTCTTTCTGTCACACGCTGACTGACTGGGTATTCAGTGGCCTGTGAATCAAACCCATTCAGCAGATGCACTGTACACAACGGATGCAGCAGATATACTCTCCAAGCTCTCATCCTTCCTCTCTGCCCATCAGCATTTCTTTATCCCTAATCTGTCTATTCCTCCCCTCCCTTCGCCAACTCCCCCACTCGGTCGGCTATATCTCTGTTTTTATTTTTCGGCAGATGTATTTTTTTCTCAATATTTTTCCCCTCCTCGTTTTTCATTCCTACCTTCACTTGTGTTTATCCTCCTGTAACACTTCACTGCATCAACCAGGGCTTGTCAGCTCCACACAGTAGTTACAGCATCAGCACCCACCACCTGACAGGGAGAGAGACAGAGAAACACAGAGAGAGAGAGGGGAATTAACATAAAATTCAACATCACATACAGTCGAATGCCAGGAGAAGCTAGAATGATAAAGACTTGTTTTTGTTTTTCCAGAGGTATTTAGTCAGAATAGGCACAGAAAAGCGCGGACAAAGATGCAGCCCTTAAGGGTGAATAATCACCAGAGCTAGCCTGGCTGTAGCCTTCTAGCTTTGTGCTGCATGAAATGGTTTTTGCTTGCTAATTTTGCGGGGATAAACACTGACACATCTTAATTTTCTTCAAAAGCTAGTATTATTGTTTGTCAAATGTTCAACTTGGATGATTTCCTTGGAAGAGCAGAAACAAACTGTCCACAACAATATTACTGAGTAAGGGAATATGCTGGCACACAGGTCTCTATTCACACATCTAACAGATACACAGCAACATTATCAATCATTTAAGGGAGTATTTATCTCCACCGATTTAAAGTAGCTACTACACCCAAATCTCAAACTTATTTCAGTCCTGTTTTGGTCTATGTGAACAGATGAGAAAAGTCCTCTCCAAAGCTGTTTAAGGCGCTACTCTTTGTTAGCTAGCCACTTTGTCTGGTGCTGGGCATGTGGTGTATGGGTGCTTCTGAGTGCTTTCATTCATGTCATCACATTACTAACATAGGGTGACCATATGTCCTCTTTTACCCGGACATGTCCTCTTTTTGGGGGGGCTTTTTTTTTTTTTTTTTTGTTGGATGGTAGGGGAAAGTCCCACCACCTTCGCCTCTGATTGGCTAGAAAAGCTTGAAACATCATCACACACTCAAGCCAAACACGGGCTGTCGGCTCTGTACATTTAGCAGAACATTACAGAACATTATCAAACTTCTGAATCTCCTAACCCTAACCCTAACACAAAAGACGATGATGTTTCACAGCCATAAGTCATAACCAATCCGATCCCAGCACTTCTAGCCAATCAGAGGCGAAAGAGGGCGAAAAATTGTGTCTGGGGAAGTCTATAAGATCCCTCAAATGTCTGCGGTTTTGTACGTAAGTTTCGGTTTTGTGTCATGTGGACTTACAGAGTTGGAGGCGCGTAAAAGACACTTAATCCGACCCGAAAAACGCTCAAAATGTACTTTGTGTGACTCAGTGACTCCGCCCCCGCGTAGTCGTGTCCTCTTTTTGGGAAGTCACAATATGGTCACCCTAACTTACATGTCAGATGTGGTAGATTTATCCATTAAGTTTTTTAATGTGTGATTAAGTGGACCCTATTCAAGATTAAGTGTAACAAAGCAGTTATTATCACCATTATAAACAAAGGATCGACAGCTCTCATACATAGTGACAGTTTTACCCCGTGAAATAGTACATTTTGTCTCATCTAAATACTTCTAGGGTGCCCCTTTTCTTTCCCAGTTTCATATTCTTATGGTTACTATTGGGGCATTAAGCTAATTTCAATTATTTCCTGTCTCTTACAACTCCAGCTTTGTCTTATGCAGTCTGACTGGTGTAACTATTAACACTACTGCTGCCGCCCTTGCATCATCGAATCTCATCAGCAAAGAGTGGAGACAGAAGAGGCGGGGGCCTTTGAAGAATAGTTGCCAGGGAAACACAGTCTCTTATTCTCATGGCAACACACAGTTGGGTACCATTCAATCTTATCAATTAGGAGGATTGGGTGAACAAACGGATGGATGGATAGATTTCCTTTTTCTCCAGAATGAGAGGGACACAAGAGCACTGATGTTTTCTTTTTCTTTTAGGAATGTAAAACTACAACATCCACTTCTTAAATTAAGCAGTTTTACTATGACTCAAGTAAATTACTTTACATTTATTGATTTCTCTTGTCAGTAAAAGGGCAAAAGTCAAACATTTTACAGGAAGCAGAGGTCAAATAAGGTGAGGACTTAAATCAGGACAGTGAAATCTAAACCGTTTGATAGAGTTGATTCAAACTTCATTTTTGAAATTCTTGTTCTTATCTAAATCCAACACTTGTTGTAATTTACAGTTTCATCTAAAATGAGGAACTCACTCACCCACTTTTAGTTTCAGACGTTGGTTGTTTTTTCTCAGTAAAATGTATCTGAAACTGCTCTAACAAATTGATCTGATTTCACTGAGCGCAGACACAAAGTTTTGCATCTTAACCAAAATCAAATGAAGACATTTTGATGAATATATAATTCTGATAATCATTTGAGAGCTTTAATTTGCTGTTCGAGCTCTGTGTCACAGGGTTTTTTTGTTCACCTCTTATTAGTCTGAACCAAATGCAAACTTCGATTTCTGTCTTTGAGCTTATTAGAGTGATTTGTAAGAGTGCAGTGCAAACAAGGCAGGATGCTGATTATTGAACAGAAAATGTCTTTTGATGCCTGTTAAAAGCTCTTGTGCATTTGCAGGCAATGAAACAGACAGGCATTTGATAGTGATGCATTTATGTAACCTACAAAAAAAAAACTAGACAAAAAGATTGACTATGTAGATTGTTATTATTGCCCGTCACCCCTGTCACCAGGTTAGAGTCCAACAAAGTAAACCACTAGAGCTGGGGTCTCAGTATCAAACAGGCTTGGGGTCACCACTATCATTTTAAAGATGGGCCACTTCAAATATCAATCCGTATTTTTTATTTATTCACTTTTAACTCCCAGCACAAATCTTTTGGTATTTTTATTGAATTATTCTTTGAGTTCGGTCCAGTTATAACACTTCACATTACAGTCTCTCATGACATAACCATTTAGCCTACTTTAATCAAAATTTAATTTCCCTTTGGGGATAAATAAAGTTCTTGTTATTCTTATTCTTAAAAAGCAGACCAGATAACATCAAGGTAGATGTCTCCATGCTGGAAGACTTAGTTTCGATTAGCTAACAGAAGCTTAAGACACGTGCAAAAATCATTCTTATTAGAGAATACAGCCCCTCAGTTTACATGGACACATGAAGTGATCTGATAAAGATGTGTATATATTCAATAAAAACCTTTTTTAAGCCCAAGTGGCTCTGCTGGTCAAGGAAGTTCAATATCGTAGAACAAGAAGCTGTCCCTTCTGCTGTCCTGATTGTTAATAAACACCTCCATCTTTGTGTCACAGTCAAGTTACAAACTCCAGTCTTGAGAAATGAAGCCAATGTGGAAGTACTAAACAATCACTGTTCCTCAAGAGTCCACATACATATAGACCAATTCTACAGCGCCTCTTAGAGCACAAATACACACCTTTAAAGCCTTATTAAAAGATTTTGGTCTGGAAAGATAATTTCTTTATCATCACACACGACACGGTGCGATTGAGATTTGCTTTATAACTGGCAGGGCAAGGATGGTTTGATTAATAGGCAGGCAATCTGTAGATGTTCATGAAAAGGCTTACGGTCTGTCTTATCCTCTCATTAGGCCAATAACAAAAGTAGGTTGAGTCAGAATTTTTTTAATGGCAAACATCATCTTTGCTTCAGAAACTAGTGGGTGATGCTATCAAGACCATGTCCCCATTTTATACAGTCATGTATGTAATGTGTCACAAATAAAGGTTAAAAAAAAATACATTTCATCATTTATTTATTGATTGTATTGTTTTTCCCCCTTTTTTGGCCGACATTTCTCCACCCCAGCTAACTTATTTTAAATCCTACTTGAATGGCCAACACTTGGTGCTACATTTTTAGTATGAAAAGTTCTATATAAATAAGATTTGATTGATTGATAGTGATTAGAAAAGGCAGAAACTTTTCATATAATGTAAGACTAACTTAACCCTAACCAGGAAAAATTGATCATATCAAGTTTTTACATTGCTATTGATCTTAAGGACAAACTCAATAAACTAACCCTCAGATTGATATTTCTTTCCAGTCGGGCCAGATTGGACCGGTTCTGCCCTTTGAGGTGTTTGCAACAGGTTGGATGAGGAGGAAGATTTTAGCTGTAACAGCATGCCTAAAATGTGCACAGGACAGGATATTCACAAGATCCCCCCGGACTTCACAACAAACTGGAGAAAGTATGTACTGTTCTGGTCTTTCAACCTCTCAAAACACTTTTACACTCCATGTTGCGTTCACTCTTTCATACACACATTTACACACTGACAGAAAAAGCTGCTATGTTAAGAGCCAGTCTTAAGAATTTTTACTCTGTCTTTATATCTTTGGGTGCAGTTTGGAGATTCGTGTCTTGCCAAGGAACTCTTCTGAAGGTACAAATCAGGAGCCAGGGATCCATCTGATCAGGAGAGAGCGAAAACACAGCCACCTTACCAGGTCGCCAAGATTGAAGAAAATCAGTCTCACATCTATCCATCTCTCTCTTTCTGCATCTATCCTCTCTCTAAACCCAATGCAGTAGCGGCAGATGACTGTCTTACATGAGTCTGGTTCTACTTAAGGTTTCTGCCTGTCAAAAGAAAGTTTTCCCTCTCCACCGTAACTTGCTAAATGCTGCAAAGTGTTACACTCGTGTGGTTAAAGATGGGATGGCAGGGAGTCTAATCTGACAAGATGGGGGTCAATCTTATCCCATCTTTGAGAATAGCATTTTTTAAATTTTAGTATTTATTGTCAAAACTCAGCAGCTGATACCAGAAACTCGTTCCTTGCTTCTGCCACCCAAGTGCCTTCATAAATCGGCGTCATGCCAATCAAATATTAGTCTACCCTGCAGTTTTTAGAGGGGAGACACTAAGGAGAAGGTCTTGACATTTGTTTGTAGGAACAGTCTGCAAATAAAGTTGCTTTTTCTGCAACTTAAAGGCTGATAAGTACTTCAGAGGGAGAGGGTGAAAGAGTCAAAGAGTCTGAGGGGAAAGAGAGAAGAAAGAAAGAGATCACAAAGTCATTACACGCAGACATCAGCTCATGTTAGTTCTGCTCACTGAACAGATCTTCCTTAAGAAAACTGGTGATTATTCTTTTTCTCCTATCCATCTCTTTCACTCTGTCTCAACCCTTCGTCTGCTCTCAACTCCACCCCCTGTTCACTCCAGGCCAATCTTTTATGTCTCCATTCATTCACTCATCTTCACACCTCACACCCTCTCGACCTCTCTCGCTCCGTCCCCGTCTCTTTTATATCTTTCCCTCTCTCTTTTCCTTCTTTGTTCTCTGCTTTTTCTCCCTAAAGGTAGATACTAGTGCAGGAGGCTGCAGTAAGATCGCCAGCTCATATGCTTTTTCGGAGAGGAGGGGGAGAGAAGAGGAGGGAGAGCCAACTGAACACCCACGTGGATACAGGTACTGCTATGTTCAGAGAAAAGATAATAATACACTTTTTTAAAAACGGACACACTGCACATTATTATCATAATAATAATTATTATGGTGGATAAACTGTAAATGGTTGGTAGATTGGAAGGAAAATGGCTGGCAGGAGATCAGATTTGTAGGAAGAGAGGAGCAGAGAGGAAAGGTAGGACAGGGACAAAGTGACAAGGTGGGTAAGGAAGAGAAGAGATGTGAGGAAGGGGAAAAGGTAGAATAGAAGGGGACAGGATAAGAGAGAAGGAAAGGAAAAGGAGTATGGGAAGATAAAGGAGAGAAAAAGAGGAAAGAGGATAAATGCGTTGACAAAGACAGAGTTTGAGACAGATAATGGAAGGAGGCAGTGTCAGACCCACTGAGACCACCACTAAAGATTGACTGCCAGTAAAATGCTAGACCATTCATCTCAGGCCTACAGACACATACAGACATATACTGTCCATACACTGACTCACAGTCACACAGTCATAGATATACTGCTGCCATGTCTTGCTGAGGTGAGAAGAGAATAACAGCTGAGAGCAAAGGATGGAGTGTCATGGAGCAAGAAAATGGAAGGAGGAGGTTGTGATTCTTTAGCATCACCCCTCCCCCTTCTCTGTCTCACCCTCCTTTACACACACACACATACACACAGACACACACTGGCTGAGTCTGGGTCCGGCGCAGCACACAACGCCTCATAAAAAGGGCGATTGCAAATGAGCGCTGTGATTCTGTGCTGCATGGCTGACAAAGAAAGAGAGACAGAGAGAGAGACTACAACATGTTTAAGCTCAAATCTGTCTTTATTGTGTAATGTTAGTCAGGGAGATCATTTTATGATTGAAATAAGGAACTGGAGCAGCAGCAACTGAAGGATCTGAAGGCTTATACGCTCAGAGGTGGATAAAAATGAGCTCTTATATCTCCATTGTGTGGAAAAAGGGAAATTGTGTGAGGTTTACGCATTAAGAGTGTTTGCATTTGTATTATACACAGTATCTTGTGTATCAAAGTGTCTGACATGAGAGATTCTCGGTACTCTAATTCATTTTTTCAGTGCCCTCTTTTCTCCACCTCGCAGATTAATATATGCCTTATATTTAATGTTGACATTAATATTTGAAGACCAGATTTGGGCTCAGGGCTGTTTTGGATCTTGGAAAAGCAGAGTTGGGGGAAAAAAACAGCCTTGTATTGCATTTTAAAGAGCTGATTCCTCCCTGAGCCTTGACTGTTGGGGGGTGGGCTGTGTGCTGCTCTTATCTTTATTTGTGATATTGGAAGCCAATTAGCTGCTATCACAGGGAGCGCTGCTGCATTTTAGGGGTCTAAACGCAATAGCATGTGGGATCTTGTATGAACATAAGAATCTGTGTAACTGTATCGCCGAGATTATTCCTGCACCCCTACTTTTATTGTCCTTCCCTGACCCCCTGTGATCTGTAAACAAAGAGAGCGGCGCTGTCTGTACGGCAGACACTCTTTGTCCCTAACGGAGTGCTCACACACCACTTTATGTGGGTCAGTACAGTGAGTGTATAAGAGCGTGTGTTTGCATTTGAAGCTGAAATCACCGGAATGAGAAGAAAACGCAAAAATGTTGAATGATGTTGAAGTATAACATGTGCAAATCTGTGTGTTTTTTGAGTGCATACATGTGCATGGCTGTGATTTCCAGATGCCTTTTCATACAGCGCGTGTGTGTGTGAGAGTGAGTGAGTTTGCATAAACACTTGAAATTGCATCAAATTGGTTTGCATTGAGCTGGTATGTATAAATGTTTTTGTGAGTGAGTGAGAGAGGGCATGAAGCAGAGGGCGAGAGACAAGGACTGCTATAAAACAGAACAGAAAGGCAGTTTAAACTCAACTCCCTGCCGTCTCCCTGCCATCTGATTCTCCTTTAACTCTCCTTCACCCTTTCTCGTTCTTTGTTCATTGAACATCCATCTTTTTTCATCCGTCAGCTTCCTGTTTTTTAGGTAGAAGTGTATGATCTTTTTCTCAAGCAAAGTTTTCAAACTGCAGTTTATACACAACACAAAAAACTTCCTTCAGCATAACTTTAAATTCCCTCTTTTTCAGACCTCAGAATATTTTTGACTGCCCCAACAGGATTGGTGTTATGATCATTACAAACTCTTTCTCTTCTTGTAAAAACTGGATAGAATCTAAAAATCTGAGAGCCAGATTTAGTCAAGTCTTCTCTCTACCAGAGCTTTAAAACTTGGGACAGTGTGATAATGCAGAGTACTTTGGTAATTTTGTATTGTCATGGAAGTACATTGGGAAATGGGTTGTCACAATATACTGGTTCTGATGATGATTTTGTTTTAGAAAAGAAAGAAAACTGAAATATTGATATTTTGATTCAGATAAGCAGAGCAGTCTAATAACTTGTTGGTTCATGGGCAGTTCGGGTTAGTTGAGTCTCTATGCTGGTTGCGGAAACTCTGGTCTTCTTAAGAAATGAAGCCGATGCTGAAATGCTAAAATCTGCAATTCCCATGTGAAGCTGAAACCATGTACACACTAAGCTTAAAAAAGGCTGTTTTTAGAGCAAAACCTGGTTTAAAAAGGGATTTATGTCTAAATAGTACAGGGATTGATTTTTATTAATTTATTTATTTATTGGAATTTGCTCATTTTGAAGTTTCCAAGGTTACAGAACTCGCAAATCAGAGCTGACTTGACTGACAGGTATGGACTCAGTAGCTTTGTGAGGAGGCTAAAAGCTGGTAGGTTGACCGGTTGAGTCAGCATTACTAATATGGTGACAGCCATCAATAGACGTCAAAACTCTGCTTTGTCCATTTATGTAACAGTCTGTGGGTACCTCCAGCCATAAAATGAAGAAGCAGAAGTGGAAGAAACTAACCAGCTAGCCTTTTTTTTTCTCTATTTGGTTTCTACTGCAGCACAAACATGTCGGAGGAGATGACAGATGAAAGCAAGATACTCTAAGTTCACCCAAGGCAAGTTTACTCACCAGTTTGGGAGATTTACTTTATTTTGTATAAAGCTAAGGTGTTTATGGACACGCAGAATTACACACAGAAGAAGAAGAAGGTGAATTTTAGATTAATGAGAAGGTTTCGTCAAGGGCTGGTGACTGATAAAACACAATTTTGAAAATCAGTCTTGAAATAAACAAAAAGATGTTGTCACATGCATGCTGACTGAAAACCCTGTTGCCCTTAAAGCTATAGAAAGCAAATAAAGCTGAAAAAAACAAGTTCGGTCCAGACAGGAAAGTGGAACGACAATGAAACCATTACTGACAGTTTTCAGGCCTTGAATGTAGGACAGTCGTCTTATCAAATTCAGCATACTGTGTTGTGAGGTGTTTATGTTACACACAGCGTACACTGCTATGTAGTGCAGAATTAGGACACAGCATGTGTCTCCATCCCTCCAGCAGTACATGACCACAGAGAATGAATGAATGTGGTAACCTCTGACCTCAGCCTGACCTAGAATCTATTTTCAGCTCCATGTGCTGAAGACTTCCACCCTCTTCATACCAGGGAGAGCCAGTGTGTCCTTGACAGGAGCGATACTCCATCACACTGTGCTGCAGTGTGTCTCACATAGCAGGGGGATGCAGTGTTACACTACTCCGTGTCCCACTGGGAGGGGCTGTTAGTAGCAGCAGCTTTCAGATTGGCTGCCATGTATGATATGGATTTAAGCTGACGCAGAGAAAAAAATAATTGATAGAATAAGATCAAATGAGGAGATAAAAAGCAAACTGGAAGGTGTTGGTGGATCCCTGGTGAGAAAGTTTGAGATCTTGGCAGATTTTGTGGTTTATTTCTGTCAGGTGCTCTATTTTTATCGCACAATCTCACCAGCTCTTTGTTGTTCAATTCAAAATAGATGTTTCTGTAGATAATCCTTACTGACTCAACTTAACTAATTAGTGAGCACATCTGAGTGTATGTGTGAGTGTGTGTGCTGTGGTTGTTCACAAAGTATCATGAAGATAGTAAAAAAAATGACTCATTTGTACGGTCTCACAAGCCTGATCAAACATAAAACTACAAGCATGGTTGCCAGCATCCCAGTGTGCCCATTGCAGATCTGGCAACCCCCCATGTGAACAAACACAGAAGAGAGAGAGAGAGAGAGAGTAAATCTAAAAAATGGATTTATTCACTGTAGGTTGCACTAGTCCTACGACATGAATCGTGAGGGAAATAGGTAATTCTAAAGTGCCTCACAAAAAAACACAAAAGAACCCACAACACAAATGAGACACATTTGGTGGGGAACTTCTGCCCTGCTGCCTCTCGTTTGTGTTGTGGGTTCTTTTGTGTTTAGTTCGTAATTACCTCCGCCAAGGAGGTTATGTTTTCGGTAGCGTTGGTTTGTTTGTTTGTCTGTTAGCAACTTTATGGAGAAAGTAACAGACGGATTGACCTGAAATTTTCACCAGAGGTGCGTCTCAGCCCCAGGAGGATCCCATTAAACTTTGGTGGTGATCCGGACAAAATTCTGGATACTGTGATCAGAACACCCAAAAATAAAGGTGTCGTTAGAATTTTCAATGCTGAAAGATAACTAATGGGTGGCACAGTGGTGTAGATAGGTGGCACAGTGGTGTAGTGGTTAGCACTGTTGCCTTACAACCAGAAGATCCTGAGTTTGAATCCCAGTCAGGGTGTTTCTTGTTTAAGGGGGGACATGAGCTGCTTGGCAGAGGTCTGCGCTCTCCGAGTGCTTTTCTAGTTTTGTTATGTTGTCACAATAAATCACTTGTTAAACTTTTGAAGGTGTTTTGTTAATTTAATGGGTCAAAAGATGAGGATAGTTGTTAGCCCCATAGGGCCGCCTTCGGGTGGGGCGTAACAGTGAGAGTTACTGATCAGCAAAGTGTATTATCTTGGATCAGCCACACCGTCACTATTATTCCCTACAGAGGGAGGATGTAGCTTAGAGGTGGATGTTGTGACTATGGATTGCGTACAATTGTGCATGTAGGGATATGCAGCCTCGCATTGGCATTTTATAGCTAAAGATACTCATTTTTTGGAGTTGAGAGTCACTATATTTGGGCTGTACTTTATGGAATTAGCTAAGGTAACACTTAGCAGCTAAGCTGGGTCATCACACAGTTTTTGCCCCTTGCATTAGCTTCATTTTGCGACTGCCATCATGGGGGAAATCATTTCAGGTACAAAAACCCTTAAGCACCAAGGTGGAAACATTTAAGTTGAAGTGAGCATTTTAATAGTGGTTTCACAGGGAATTGACTCACTTTGGAAGCCAGTCCTTGTTTTTTTTGGTGCTTCATTTTTAGCACAAGCGGCCACCACTTAGTAAAAAACATACAGAAAACTTTAGCTCCCCTTGGAGTCTGCGTTGTTTGTAGCAAGCTTTCAATTCTCTCCTGACACAACCAGTTTAAAACGACAGTGATAAAAGCCTCTTATTTTCAAAGCAGCATTATTTTCATTCTGCAGGGTTGAGATCTACATTTAATCTCTTGTATTTGTTTTTATAGAGAATAAATTTTTATCTCAGGTCGTTATATCATCCCGACAAAATGTTTGCTTATCTAACAGAAAAACATAAAGTTACACAGGAACTACATTTATTTGTGTTTTGAAAAAGATCTAGGGTTGCTCGTTGTCAGGGTGCCAAACCAAAAGGCTCTGAGGATGAGTAGTTTGTTAGTGTGTTTGGCAGATGAAATTCTATCTTGAGTAATGTTGGCTGTGGTTTGCTAGTTTTCAGACTCTGCCTTCAGAAACTCCGTTTTGTTTTATCCAGAGCTTTTCAGGCCTGCTGTGCCTTCTTACAGTTGCTAAATAGGATTAAAGAGTTGATGTGCCGACTACCAGCAAAATCAGCCTACTGTAGAGGAGAGACAGAGACTAATGAGTGTCTCTGATCAGGAGCACGGTCAAACACACTTCACATCCCTTTATTCATTCATCTCAGATAATTAAAGTTACTTAATTGTATAAATTCATTAACCTTGAGCCTCAGTAACTAAACACTTTAAACTTTGCTATCTCACTGAGCTGGAGTCTCCATCACAAAGTGTAGTCATTCAGTCACTCCCTCTTTTACTTCTCTGCGCTCTCTGGCCTGCAATCAGCCTGAATTGAAAACTGTATTGAGGATATTGATCCCAAATATAACCAAAAGGCTGCCTTTAGGCTGATTATCGATATTAGTGAACAACAATCAATCTGACAATAATACTGCAGGAAGTTCTGAAAGAGCAGATATGATGTTATCTCATCTAAATCTCCTTTTTTATTACAGTAAAAAATAGATATGTCATATTTGGTTAAGTTACACTCACAGAGGCCCGTGTTCTTGTCTTACTTGATATTATATCACACGCAGTTCAGAGAATTTCAGCAGGACGTGCATAACAAGGATCTTAACAGATTTAGACCTTTCAGCAGTCTCTGACAGTGTCATCCAGCATCAAGAGTTAAGCATTGTGATCTATGAGTTATCAGATCTTGACTTCCTTGCTGTGGGAAATTAAATCTCACCGTCTCCTGGATCTATTTCTTTTATTTTTATTGGGTTATAAGAGGAATTTCTTTTTAATTTGAGTCCCACATTTCAAAACTTATTAGGAAAGGTATTTTTAAGAGCCTTGGGTCTCATAAAAAAGATTAAATTGGGGGTAAGAGAGAATTTAATTTTTGGTCGAATTAACATTTCTTGAATTTGGGAGTGTGGCAGAGTCAGTTTTGGACCAATTTCCACTGAGCTAGCATAATCCAGGGACTTCATAGAAGTGTGTAGAAGTGTATCGAAGCTGTCTCTGATTTTGTTCCACTTCCATGTTAAACAAAATGTGCCAAGTATATTTTCCTAAACACTGAGGTTGTCTGATACCTGTAGGTCAACAGTAAACAGTTAAATTGTTATGTTCAGTTTTATCATGAAACTTTTGTTTGTATTTTGGAGCAAGTTTAGTAGAGTCACAGCATTATGAATTTGTATGCAGAAAGATCTTGTTGATCTGGGGATCAGTCCTGTGTGTTTATTCTACTTGGGGAAAAGTGGTCACCTGAGGCAGTCAGGGGACCAGTGAAGATTTTGCAGAGAAACTGTGACTGGTCAAGAAATTTTGCGCATTTGCCTTCTCCAAACACGAAAGTTGTTTTTGCGCTCACATTTTGCACAAATTAATCTAACGAGACATAAATCATTGGTATTGGTTCAGCTGGACAGGGGCTGGTTTTTGTTTCCTACATGGACGGAGCAGGTAAGCCGTTGAGATAGTAGTGGCTGCGTCTGTAGAGACAAAATTTTTCATTGAATCAAGATAAACCAAAGTATGAAAATGAGCCGGTAGCTGGAGGATTTCCAGGTCATTTTCTAAGAGTTGCCAAGGTGCCACTGTGCAAGGCACCAAACCCACGACTGCTAAAGGGGCTCAGTGGTGTGCAGCTCTTCACCTTGACATCTCCTCATTAGTAAATGTCACAGTGTTGTCTCTGCATGTGTATTTCAGCTGTATTTTATCAACATCGTGTCAAAGTTAAATTCGCCTTGGATGAGTGTAGCATCTACCTACTCTATTTCTTCTACCGTTCTCTATTTTATGCACCGGCAGATAAATGGTGTTGAACTTTTCTTGTGATTCTTGTAATTTCACTACAGCAAAAAAATAAATAAACAGATTATCATGTTGTTGTAAAATGTTCAGAAACTAAGAATATGTCAGAGAATTTCTACAGCATTGGCACTCATGGTGTCTTTTTTGTTTATATAATGAGCATATGTCTAAGTGCTCTATCAGGACCCTAACCCTCCCCAGCCTGCCCCCCTTTAACAGGATCATCTCTGATCTTTGGGTAATCCCTGACTTTTGACAATACTGGCTTAAAAACCATAAGCTTACCAGGTACAGGCAGATTACAACTCAAATTCCTCAATAATCTCAGACTCAGCTTTAATGCTGGTCTGATCCAACCTCTTAACTCAAGAGAAAACAAAAGGAACATCAAACACGTCTCTAAAAGCTCAAGTGACAGATGTTTAAACGGCAGATGTCCATGCGTGGCAGATGAGTCGACGAGACAACACGATAAGGAGAGTTTAGATAAAAGATGGATTTATAAATACTAAGGTTGCACAATTTAAGGATGCAATGGGATGTAGTTTCTCATCCACCTGTTTCCAGAAAAAGAATGGAAGTCTATTTAATGTGCTTTTGATGCAGAAAAGGCTCCACAATCTGATGTTGAATCATTGCTGATCTTCTGGCAAGTGTAAATTCAGGACTGAGCAATGGCTTTTTTTTTTCAAAATGAAATTATTCCATTTAAAATGCTGTAAAACTTCTTCAGATAACAAATGAAAGATGTTTAGATCCTTGATGCAACATTGATGATCTCATGTCTTTGACTTTCACCATGACGACACAACACTTCCGGTTTGAAAATGCTCTTCCAGGGTGAGCTATTTGCATCAATTCAGCATTGAAATGTTTTAACAAAACACTTCCTGGACGAGAACCATGACATTTTGAAGAAACAGCACACACTCTTGTGTCACCCGCCGGTCCTTTTTTTCTTTTTACAGACTGCCAGTTTGGGTTTTGCTGTGACCTCGTCCATGTTTAGTCTACTAGAGGAGATCATTTCACATCATTACACCTGATGAAATGTGCTGGCAGTGTTTGAAAGGTGGTAAATACAGAAAAAATAACTGCTAATACTCCTTCTTTTTCCTGTTTTCTCTTGTTTTCCCACTCCTTCTAACCTTACATGCCCTCATCCTCTATTCCCAGTCCCCTAACATGTAATATCATACTTCTGTGGCACTGAATATGTGGCATCCCGGGGGTGTGAACCCTGGGTAACTGCAACGATAACATGACTGTGTACCTTGCATAAATGTATATGTTGAGCAGAGAAGATTTAATTCATTAGTTGATGTGCATGAACAGAAATGTAAAGATATCCTCCTTTAATGCAACCCCCCATTCCTGTCTTCCGCATTGTCAAACCTAATAATCCTGTCACATGCAAAGACAACATAATAAGATGCTGCACCTCAAATGAACAGAGGAAATAGGACAAAATGAGACAGAGCGCTAATCCTCTGCAAGACAGCAGGACACAGCAATTGTGTAGCGCTGGAAGACACGGCCACATGCTGCCAACACCATTTTGAAGGGAGGATTTTGACTGGATGAGGGTAAAAGAAGTGACAGAACACATTGAGTCAAAGAGGGCTGACAGGAGAAGCGAGTAAGGGAAGAAATACTGACTGGGGGGGAATTAATGAGTTAATGACAGAGCGAGAGAGATGACGAGAAAGGGGGAGATACTGATGGACAGGATAAGAGAGGGAGAGAGAGAGAGAGAGAGAGAGAGAGAAGGCGGTGTAAGACAAAGAGTGACAGAGAGGGAGCGAGCAGAGAGGAGGAAATGCAGACGGGCATGTTTCTATGGGCGCTCAGGAAAGATTTGGGGTGAGGGAATCTTGCATCATCACAGCAGGCCAATGAAAAGCCTCGGTTAAAATGTTCAAAGGGAGTGTCCTAGCAACAGTGGAGTAAATACCACAGGAGCTACCATTCCATCAGAGACTGAAGAAATACTTACATCCACGCAAACACTCATCAATAACATGCTTGTTTGCATAGCGCCTGGACATATTAGCTGCTTCAGTGCAGTTTGCTTTTTAACTCATGCATGTGAATTGATTCTACACATACACATATATTACAGTAAGACCTGAATATCTCGCTGTCTTGGCAGGTATCAACTCTAACATTGATGCTCTTTATTTGCAGGTGTTAGCAGAAATGTAGAAATAGTGATTGATTTAATTTGAGATGTTCGTTTATGCATTAAAAGAATTGCCATACAAAACATTAAAGATAAAATAAGATGTTGCTTTAATGGTCCCAAACTTACAGCTCCATATTACAGATACAGAAAAAGAATAATTAAAAGAAAAAGAAACTTTGATGTAAAAAAGATATGTATATGAGTCATATTTACACCTGTACAGAATTTACATATAAATATGATTCATTGTACATTGAGGTTTCTGTTGTTGAGTCTGACACACACAAAAAAAACACATACTCTATATAAGGGCTGATAGGTTTGGCAGATTATACCAAGTGTATTCGTACATCTTCATATAGTATTTATGTGTATGAAAATGAGTATGTGTGCATATACACTGTGCAGAATATACTTGAGTGCATGTGCATGCAAATGGATATCCACAGGCAGATAACACGCACTCCTATTATCCACATGATTTCAACTGTAACAACATAAGATACTGACACAGCAGCATGACCTCATTTCAACTAAATTATCTATTATTAAATTACTGTATTTGTGTGAGTCTCCATGCGAGTGTGTGCCTGTCATAAAAGTCAACATGGCCGTAAATCATCATTTAATCTACTCACACGGATTATAACCTGAGTGAGTAGATTACAGGGGGATATGCAGCGACCAGATCTTTCAATTACACACCTCTCCTGTCTGTTTCTCTCTCTGTCCGCCCGCCCATACACCCTCAAACACACACAGCACTCCATCATGCTTTCTCTTTCTACCTTCATATTTATCCATCACTCTCTCATTCCCTCTCTCCCTTGCCCACACAAAGACCTGCAGAGTCACTCGGCGTGTTGCTTAACCCTTTTTGCTCACCTCGCAACCACTTCCACATCTAATCCTTTCGACATTTGGAGAAACAGAGAGATCCTGAAAAGCCTTAGCCCTCATTCATTCATCCTGCCATTCAGTTTTTTCCCTCCTTCCCTCCTCCCTGTTTTCCACTCGAGTCGCATGCACCCACCCCTTCAGATCGGCATCAGTGTAATCTGGGGCTTTTGTTTTTAGCAGTCTGTTTGCAGAGCACGAGCGCACACCTGAAACACTTCCTTCTCTGTATACTGAACCGTTCCTTGTGATGCTGCTGGTTCCTGATCTAATGCTTGTGTGACAATGCAGGTGAAAAAGCAAGGTGGATCCATTGACATGCGATTTATCTACATTGTTCACACACACACATACACACACACACACACACTTCGGTGCATCAGTGTGGTACATGATGCATGTGTTGTGATGGTTCTGGGTCACATATCATCTAAAAACATACACACATCCACACGCATAAACATATGTGTACAACACTATATTCTCCTGACACATTCCTGCTATATGTGTGTGTGTTAATGCGTGTGTGTGTGTGTGTGTGTGTGTGTGTGTGTGTGTGTGTGTGTGTGTGTGTGTGTGTGTGTGTGTGTGTGTGTGTGTGTGTGTGTGTGTGTGTGACTGTGTCAGTGACCGTGCAGCTCTGGCTAAGCACTGCAGTGAAAGAGGACAAGCCCCAGTTGACCAGCCCCATGGGGTTTGATGTATTCGGGCCAAATTCATTGCTCCCTCCCTGCCCCCGAGATCCTGACCTGCGTTAGCCCTCAACATCCAGTCCACTCCACCCTCAGGCACCCACCGTGGCCCCGTCCTTTAAACCAAAGAATCCACCAAAATCAAGCAGCAATTAGCTACTGGTTTCATTCAGACGTCTAACCTACATCCATCCTCCAGCCTCAGCCTCCTCTTCCAGCTCCCTGCCTCTCCTTAAGGTGCAGGGTGGGACTGTTAGGCCCCTTCCTGTCAGAGCTGGGAGGATGTAGTGATGCTGGGAGAGATAGATTAAAAAAGAGAAAATGAGGAGGCTCATCTTACCGGCTGGGCGTGCAGGAGAGAGGGATGATGCCTCTGACTCTTCTCTTCGCTTCCCTTCTCTCTGGACAGAGGGGCACAGATGGATGCAGGGAACAAAAGACAGAGAGAGAGAGAGAGAAAAAAAAGGCAGAATACAGGCACCAGGAGGTGGTGGCTAGCAAGAGGATGAAAAGAAAGAAAGGCGGTAGAGGGTGCTTTTAAAAAAAAGGAGGGAGAAGTCCTTGTGCTGCTTTTCTCTGTCTTCCTTGGAGAGACTCCTTTATCCTTGTGAGCCAGAGGGCTGTGGATTCACCTAAACACTGAGCGCACGCACTGCCTCACGCCACACAGCCCTCCCTCACTCTCTCTCTCTTTCTCTCTCTCCCGCTCTCTCTCTCTCTGTCTGCATTAAAGACAGCAGCTGTCGGTCTATGAGAAATAGAACGCTCTGTCCCCCCTCCCATTCCTCTTCTCCTCCTACCTCGCTCACTCACTCACAAAGACCCCCACCACACACACACACACATCCAGCATGTCCTCACAACACCCCCCTCCCCCTTTTGACTAACATCTCTCACTAGCCTTCTGGCAATGTGAAGGAGGGGGTACTACCATGTGAGCCAGTGTGTTTCAGTGTGCATGGTGCAGAGTTGTATTGTGTTTGACATTGTTTCAGCGGCAGAGTGACTTTTTCTGTCCACACCGTGTGAAAGTGAATCATGGTGAGTAAGGCTGTGCAGCAGAGTGTATTTTTGCACTTTGTGTGGGTGACTGCTGAGCATCATTTGTGCTACTGTGCTGCAGAGGGGACGGAAACTCACATTACCTGTGGTTAAAGGCGGTGAGAGTGTGCAAGGGTTTATATTCGCTGTAAGATCGAGCAGCAGTGAGGAGTTTACCGAGATGATATACTTGTGAGCCTTTCATAATGACAGCACACTTTTGTATGCATGCATCTGTGAATTGGTTCCTCTCAAGAATTTGAAGGTTTAAACTCCTTCAAGGATTACTTACTTATACTCCAAGGTTGCAGCAACAAGAGGCCGTGGTTAAATGAGCCGTGGCTAAATCGTCACTTTGTGTATATTTGTGTGTGTGAGTGTGGGTGGGTGGGTAAGGGAAGGGGGAGGGCAGAATGTCTATTGTGTGGTGGTCTTGTACCCAGACTAGTGTCTACGGCAGCCCACCCTCTGAAACTAGAACAGTTTAAAAGAGCCAAAGACCAAGTGCAGCCATGCAATGCTCAGCCACAGTTTGTATAGTTGCCAAATTTAGGGTAGAATCAGGTTAGAAAGTCCTGCTGGCCTTTTTGTAATCAGGTTATATGGGGTTGTTTGAGGACAGTTCACTTACCACTGAGACCGTGTGACAATTATCACCCTTTCAACAGGTTGTTTGCTGAAAAACACAGAGACAGAAGGGCCGAGGGAAAGCAAATGAATTTCTTAGAAATGCTATCAATGCCTGGAAACACATAAGACAGGCCAAGGGAGAATTCACTCAGTGTTAAATAATGTACTTTTTTGCGTGCGGCACTAAACTAACCAGGAAAATGTTAGTCAGGCTCTAGACGGGGAGAAACTGCCTTTTCAGGGGCTGCCACATTGATGTCATTGATGTGCGTGTAAAACATAAACCATTATACAATGTTAATCATTCTTAAAAGCAATGTGAGGAGGAGGAGAACAGACAAAAGTGAGCATTGACTAATACGGAACAAAGGTGAATGGAGTAGAGGAAGGGAGGGATGGGTAAGATGAAGAACTACAGACCAACAAAGTGGATTAGGATGACTTCATATTGGCTTGTAAGGTGACTAAATGTGTAGCTGAGGTGTGTTCCTGTTCTTTAACACAAGTTTATACATTAATGTCATTTAGACATAAATCTTCCAGCAGCAGATACCAGGCTGAAAATGAGAGCTACACAGAGGCTTTAGCTCTAGGCTGACCACTCGCTTAGCATAAAAGAAGATGAAAAGTATTATGTCTAATAATAAAGAAGCGTCTTTCTGTTTTGGTAATGTTGAGTCTGAAAGGTAGATCATCTGACTGCTGCTTTCACATGGTCAGATATTTCCTGACATTGTGTAAAACAGGCAGCTTGTAAATACAAGCAAATGTCCATTTCACTTTTGCTTTCACCTTAACTCTCCCTGTATATAAATCATATATACCACCCATGACAAAAGTGGAAAATGAACTATTACCCATGTTATAAGGGGGAAAAACAGGAGGTACAACTGCATAGATACATAAGAGAACGCTTAAAGAAAAGTCAGAGTAGACTCTGTCTCCCATAACGCCTCTGCTTTCTGTAGTCCGAAGCAGAGAATGGAAAGAAGTGGTGCTGCAGTGGTCGACACCCTCCTGTTAGCTGGCAGCTGAGCACCACAGGGATGAAAGGGAGGGGTGAAGATAATGAAAGCAAAAGCAGAAAAGAGAGAAGTGAGCACTTCATTTTAGTGTAGTGAGAGTGCTTGAGTCTTTTTTGAAATATTCAGACAAGAGTCTCTCTTTACAGCTTCATCTGATGGAGCAGAGGGAGGGAGGAGGAACAGCTTCAGTTTTGCATAAGCCCCATGATGCTCAGTGAGTGGGAGGTTAGAGTTAAAGTAGTGAAAGACATGTTTTAATGATCCACACTTAAGTCTAAAACACTGTTTTACTTTTCTTTTTCGTTTTTACAAAAACTGTTCTGAAACAAAACCTACTCTGATGTAGAGAGAAAACTCAAATATGAATTATTGGGTGTAAAACCCCCACTGAGAAGTCATACCGTGTATTTGATCTGCTTGCCTAATCTGATGTCACTCAGGAAACAGTTTTAATGAGTCAATAGGACAGCATTTGCACCCATCTGTTGGGTGAAGGGGTGCAGATGCAAGTCCTCAGGAAGCATCTTGAAATCTGAGGCCTCAGCAGCACACTAATGGTAGCATCTGTTGGTTTTGGTGCTCACCACTTTAAGCATGATGGCCTGAGCTGGGCTGTCTACACATCAATGTGTAGACAGCATTACACGCCTTATACGACTGTCTTCTCAGCCTCTCAGAAGAGAGCAAACTTTGCCTGCTGTCTGTGAATAAACATCCACTTTGACACGAGAGTTTGTATTGAACCCTCTTGACCAACTGAACTCTGACCAACAGAGAAGTTGTTTGTATCTCACCACACCGTGAAATTCACCTTTTCTTTGTATGTGTGTGTGAGTGAGTGAGTGAGTGTGTGTGTGTAAGTTGCCAAAGCAGATAATGCAGATCCTGACTGAAACACATGATAATCACCTGATCTAAGCTCATTGTTCTGAAAGACAGCGGCTCTGCAGTGAAGGAGACCAAAATGAACACATAACTGGTATCCAAGGATACAGAGGGAGGATGGTGAGTAAGTCAATCTGCATGAGCTTGAAGAGAAAGTTTGCTTCCAGTGTAACACATTGTATTCACTCCCAAAGTAGATGAATATGAGTTACTGGTTACTAGGCTGTTTGTTAACTTAAAGTCTTGGTTCTTTGCTCTTTATCTGATAACTATGATACTCTAGATTATATCATCTGAGCTGTGAAATTGAAAGCGTTCTAGTTTTATTGTCTCTATTGATTTTAAACAGCGAAGAATCAGAACAAACATCCTTTCTCAAACCAAGCCGGCAATCTAAGAAAGTGAACAAGACACACTGAGGTCATATTGAACTGAAATATTCATATCTAAGCATTATTACCAGCCAGCATAAGGTGGAACACCCTGGATTATTTATACAGTGTCTATTATTTTTTAGGTCAGTTGTCCCGCCCTGCTTGCCATTGCATGAATGGCACAGACTGCCTGGTATGTGAGCCTGTCCTCAGATAAGTCTTTATGAAGGCATGCTTTATGAATTATGAGGAGGAGTAAAGTGCACCAGTGCCATTAAGTAGGAACACGGTGAGAGAGAGAGCAGATTGGGGTGAGAAGAAGAGAGATGAGGACACTTATTTTAAGAGGATCTTAGAAAGACATATTATAGGAATGAAGGAAGGAATCAATTCATCAAAGTCCTGGTTGGTTGAAAGAAGATTTGATTCTCTGTGTTTGATGAACAAGATTTATTTCATGGGCAGGTTTACATTAAAGATGCATTATGTGACTTTTAATGAATTATCCCTGTGATCGCCATTGGTAGATAATAGTAAATACCAAATAACACAATCCGCTGCATTCACTTATGGTGTATTTTATTTATTTTTTACACAATAAGAGGGCCTCATTTCAAATACTCTGTTTTCACCAACTACAAACAGTGACTCATGAAATGCAAGGCACCCATAGAGTCGGTGTCACGCCTTGAACATCTGCGTTAAAACAAATTAAAATGAGGTCTGTTGTGGGAGCCTCATGTGGTTTAAGGCTGAAGAAGAAACAGATTAAGCTTGGTATATTAAAATGTTGTTGTATATAGTGTAGTGTTAAGACAACAGGTAGTGAATGAAAGAGGAAAGCATGTGCAAATAGGATGATTTTTTACTCTATTCTAAGAACAGACATTAAATGTGGGTGCAGTGCTCGATCTGCACAGCTGTATTTTCAAGATAATTATTACAAGCATGAGTAATTACGGAAGCATATTGCTTTCAATTACAAAAAAAATGATTGTTTTTTGAGTATGATTTTTCTTTGCTGTTTTTCGGACTAAATTTTGTCTTCTTTGCTGTTGTTCTGACTATTTTTTCTTCTGTTTTTTTGTACTAATAATTTTTTCCCCTCTTTCTTTTTTTTGACAAATTTTTATTTTGTTGTTCTGACAATTTTTTTTTTCCTGACTGGACAAGATACTTCAAAATCCTGCGAGAATCTCACACAATCAGATGACGTTAACCACCCCAGCTGCTCCAAAAAAAGCGGATTCTTCAGCTCCTGGATAACTTTGACTACGGGGTCAATGAGGGTAAGGTACAGTATGTTATTAGTTAATCATAGGGTATGCAAATCCTGAGGTGCATGCATAAAGCAGACAAACTTATGACGATGACTATCTGACTTAAAGAAAGGAGTATCTCCCAGTGTCTCAAACCCCAAAGAAAGTAAAAATTGATTAAACTAAACAAGTGAGCCATGTTTGCTTCCAGTAGATCGAGTAGAGGGGGATGAAAGCATCTGTTTTTAAATGATCACAATCTCAGAGAATAGAAAAACAAATTAGTCTGAAAAACAAAACAAAAAAAAAGTGAAAAACAGGAGAAAAAATAATTCAAAAAGCAGAAAAGGTAAAAAGTTACTCTGAAAAACAGAGCTTTTAATATTATTATTTCATTTTATTTTAATTTATTTCATTGGTGAATGTAGTATGCTTCCCTAAGTAATAGCGTCAAGTTAACTGAGTTATTTATTGAATGACTGGGTTCACCCGGTCAAAGAGCATCCTGTTGCTCTCATCAAAGACCGAACATCTGAGGACTGGACCAGTCACGTTGCATTACAGACGTCCGTACTGAAGCCCACACGCTCCCTCCATGACTCTCACCAGCTAAATGTTACACTTCTATATTGATGAGCATGTGGGCAGCTGGTGAGCTGGCATCATGCAG